TACCGCCTTTTTTTTTGTTGTGCGGTAATCCCCTCGGATACCACCCACCGGTCGAATGATTGTCGGACTCGAACCGACCAAAAACTGCACGCCGCCTCGGGTACCAGTTGCCGGGAAATCAGGTGTACCATAGAAAGGAAATCTCTGGCATGCCGACGTACCTCGGGCCATCTACGGCATGTAGATGACCCCCTTCTGTGTGGGAACCCCCATGTTCCACTTGTGCTCCGGAAAAGGCGCGCGTGCTCTCAGCGCGTCTCGTTACCACGACGGCCTGCTTCTGCTAGGGTGACAGATGGCCTCACCTACCACCCCCAGGCCTACTCTTATGGAGGACGGAGATCGTTCTGCGATCTCCGGCGCCTGAGTCGTCTGCGGTACCTGGCCCGTTCCCTGGCGGGCTGGGAGAGTTTTAATCCTCTCCCGGTCAAGCTCCGCCATGTCCTTCGCAAGCATAACTTGCTCAAAGAAGGAGAACCGTTATAAAACCTAGTTCCATTTATTGCAATTTCAGAAAAAATGAGGGGACAAGACGGGAACGAGCTGAAAATGGTATATATAGGAGGGCTTGATAATTTTGGGCGTCAGTATTGCTTGATCATAAAGGTCTCCAGCAGACTGACTAACACATTTGATTTCGTCATTATAATATCGACGATTTTGAATAAAAGGATAATTATTTTTTTGCTAGCAGTAGCATAAAAAATATGTCTATAAGTTGCCCCACCTAGATAGAAATACAGATACCAATTAATAACTATCATATATATGCACTAGATTTTAAGTTAGACCACGAGCAAAATAACTGTGAAACCGAATTCCAATTTGTGCAGTGGTTGTCGCATTGATGTAGACGGAGAAAAAAATTCGTAAAATAATCAATCTGCTAAGGGGTTTGGAAAAAATCATTGATATGCACAAGTAAATGAGGACAGACTCGTGATAAAATAAATTAGAAAACAGTTCTGGATATATTCTGGAGGACATTTCCCATTTCTATTTGAATTTGTGCGGGAAAACTAGGAAGCTAATCGATCTTACAAGTCACCGTTTTCACAAACATGCAGACGCCATTACGGGTTTTGGAATAGCGGGTATTTTAGATTTTTAATTATGTGTATATTTGATTATTTCAGTGCAACAAAGCTTATCGTACAAGCATTATGAAGGAATTAAATTTGTTACGCATCCGTAAAGGTAGATAGACTATTTTAGTTGATGCGAAGTCGTGAATTGTTTTAAGATATGCGCAACTAAGCTAGTAAGGTTTCATAGTATTTGGGATTTCAATAACCCAACATTTCGGTGAAACCACACACATGCTTTCAGCTTAATTGGAAGGGTCAATAGTTACATTATATATCAGTAACAAATCATGCGTGACCGGCATTGTTAAAAAGAACTCGTGCTTCGTGCGATATTACTAATGCCCGTATGCGTCAGGGCTTTTTGTTGATTTATTTACTTTTTGATTGGTACATTATTCAATATTTCCATATCCGAACGAAGCCCTTCTTGCATTGACGATTGAAAATTTGACAGTGTTATTAAAAAACCCTGCTAAAACACGTTTCTCACGACATAATAAATGTACTTGTAGAACTAAGAACACTAAGTAGATACGCATAGAGCGCTCATAAGTAGAACTTCAAAACGAAATTACAATCGATTCCAATAAACCCAAACCCAAGTATTTGCTAGATATCGTAGATGAGTGTCGTATAGCGTACGTATAGTTGTATATGTATAAATAACTGCGGAGCGCTTTCGAGGGGGAGAACAGTGCTTGGCGCATGCGATCTTGGACCCCACGGGGTAACGCCAGATTCCCTTATTGGAGGAGGATTACAACAAATATGTTCCCCACAGTAACAGAAATCAATACTTTTCCTTAATCAATACCGAAAATCACCCTCCTCAAACACATTTTCGAGTGCTATTTTTTTTCTTTTAATATATATTTCGAAATTCCAATTTTATGAGTTTAAAATAATAACAGTGCAATGTGAAATTTATAGTAGGTCGCTCAGTTTCGAAAAATGAAGGAGAAAACCTACTTTATTAAAAAAGAATCAGCAACAAAGTAAATAGCACAGTTTTGAGTAGATAATAATAAAATACAAGACCATTGATCAGCAAAATAGTATTATTACCCACATATTACACCAGACTTTGCATACAAGGCTAGAAAAAGAAAGAGAGAAAAAGGTAAGAAATGAGATACAGTAGGATAAAAAGATTACTAATCCAGTATGATGTTAATGCATAATGGAGGTGCCCAGGTGGTTGACCACCATGAACAGTATAACTTATACTATCCTTGAATAGTTCTATAGATACCATTATAAGTCAATGTATATGTTGTGACTATACTCTAGATTTGATCACTTCATGTTATGGTGAAGCATTTCAAGAAATATTGGTCGGTCACATCATGATATGGTCTGGAAAGATCTATGGATAATTAAATAATTTCTAAATGTACAATATCTATTGATAAAAAATTAAGCTTTCTGCATTTCTATTACATATAAATAATAAGTATTCAAAATCTTCCATTTCTATGTGCAAGAAGTTAAAAAGGAAAACTCAGACAGAGAATTCTATTTGGATATTAATGTATGTTTGTAAATATATATATAATATGTGTATTGTTTAACTTTTCATAAATAAAAAGGTTTTGAATTGTAATACTATACTAATATACTATAATGTAAAGCAAATTTCATGTTTTATGTAAGCAAATAAATAATTAACTTTTATTATGACTGTAGTATAGTTAATTTCAAAGTTTATATATGTAAATGGAACATACAGTTTTATTATAATTAGATGGCATTTTTTTAATTATATTTTTGGTGCATTAATGAAAGGGTTATATAACTTCACAAAGCACTGAAATGAAGAATGAAAATATTCCCTTTGGTTTTTTAATGTGTAAGTACCCACTATTGCAGCTCAGCCATCTTGGATTTAGCTAATGCAACACAAGTACCTAAAAGAAATCTAAAAATAATAATTTTAACAACAATTACATTTAAATATGTTCTTATGCATAAGTTTAGAGTATGATTTCATCAGAATTTTTTATGTTTTTTTTTTTTAATGGTGGTAGGTATTTCTAAAATCATATTTGTAAACCACCATTTTGTAAGTCACTGAATTTATAAGTCTTATTTCTATAAAGAATACTGTTACTGTGTGTGTGTATCTGTAATTATAAGAAGATTTACACAAAGTATTATTTGTATAAAGAAATAAATGCTTTATACATTTAGACTGAAACAATTTAAAAGAAATGAATCCTAAGATTAACAAATAGCAGTTGCTGTTATGCTAATAAATATATAGAAAGATTTTATTGATCAAAAATTTGTGCATTGACATGCACCAGGGGTCATTGACCTTTTTGTCTCAAAGCTGTGTGTATATTTAAGATGTATTAGTAAACAATACTGATATTTTAAAATAGAATCCTTAGTAAAATCTTTGTCCTTGTTGGTCAAAATAGTGACTTGTTTATCTTTTCTTACAAAAGAGGGTCTTCTTAAAAATATGCATGTAATTATTTTTATTTTATCTTATGCAATTAAAATTCATTTTAAAATTTATTTTAAAAAAGCTTATTAAGTTATGCTTCATATTAAAAATGCAAAGAAAAATATGTTGGCTAGTTGTTCAAAGACTATACAAAAAGAGAATTCAATACTTTAGTGCAATTTTGTTTCCAATGAAAATCAATAATTAAAATATGCAATTTTAAGAACAGTATTGATTTTCTATGGACAACTTTCGTTACCTTTTCCTATGCACACCAATACAGCATAGCGCCTACGACCGGTTGTGAGCTGTGATACGCAAGAAAAAATAGATACCAAAAGCACCTCCACTACACTAAGTTGTTTATAAAATTTGAGATTGATTTATTTCGGCTTTTCTTACATCCAAGTGTTTTAACGTAACAAAAAAATATAAAAAATACCAGGCGTATCTAATTAAATGCATCGTGAACGTCCTATGCATGTCCTTAACAATTGAAAAGCATACCGAGATACAACATGATTCATAAGCGTAGCTACGGATACTCACCAAAATATCTTCGAAGCCTTGTGGGAGACGGCTGAATCACAAGCAAATGTTTATACTACGCAATTTATGCGAGCTCATTTAACATTGTCCTAGAACGTACGTTTATGTCCGACCAAAAAATAATCACGAAAATAATATCTGCGATGCAGGTAGATTGCACAAAGATAGATATTAAAATACCAATCAATACTAAAATGTTATGTTGACTGGTATTTTTATTGCACTAATTTTGAATACTGCTGAACATCACAAATGCTTATATTTCGCATTATCGTTTTTATTTATTTATTATCATAAAATAACACCGTAAAACATCGGCGGTGAATGAACGATCAATTGATTTAAAAAAAGTTAGTTTTCTTCTTTATGGAAAGTTGACAATAATAGAGTATCAAGGGAAGTGTTTTATTCCAAAGACAAGGTTTCCAATAAGACTATTACATTTTTAGGCGAGTTTTATTTACACGTAACATATTAGTTTTAAAACACAATAAAAATGGGGGAAGTTAATACCTTTCCTATATTTAAAGGTATTGTGTAAAAATATGCACTTTTATTATATTTGGTGTACAAACAACACGTTTCTTAAACAAAAAGAAAAATTAAACGTATTAGAGTTGTATTTAAAATGATAACCCAAAATTAAGAACATTATTTCACTTTTAAAAAAAAGGTAAACAAAACTAATACATGTTCACAAAAAAGGGACTTAATTCTTGTATCACATTGCAGGAATAAAATTATTCCCCAGAGAATTAAGAATGAAAATGACAGTTGCTGTCATATTTCGCGCCAAAATAAGCGAGTCGTGTGTGACCACCGAGTTGTGTCTTTGAAATTCAAATACAGCTCTTTGTTTACAAAACTAAAACTTTTTGTAGAAATTTATGTAATTTTAACTAAGAGTAAAAATGTCTACGCCATCAAAACGTTCTGATTCGCGAGCGTCGTCAGAAGCTCCAACGCCATCAAGAAGAACAAGATCTTCGCAACAACTTATAGTACCTGAAACACCACAGCGCTCCTCCGGCACTCCTTCCAAAGGTAATTGTGCCAAATATAATATAATACAATTTAATAGCTGCTATCTATATCATAATCATAATTTAATACATATTACTTAACACTATTACTTTTATAATAACCTTAAACGAAATTCTTTTACAATACATACATAAAGGGTTCCGCATACACAAAGTGCCAGAAATCTCTAATATTTAATTTATAACTTTTATATATATATATCAAAACTGGCCAGACGGGTTGGTATAGGGTTTGTGTCAAGTTTTCCTTCTCTCTGTCCTGCGTAGTTTTTTCCTTAGTCGGCTCTTACGACACCCACGGGATGAATAGGGGTGGTGACACTCTGTATTCTTAATCCGTCACCACACGGACTATAATTGTATCATCATCAACAGCCTTTAACAGTCCACTGCTGGACATAGGCCTCTCCTTAGAAAGGAGGTTTTGGCCTACTATACCACGCTATAATCGTATACTTAAACCATATTATAGAATACTATCATTTGCCTCTTGAATGTCGGTTATCGTGTTAAAAAGTTGCCAATGTCCTTCCTCAAAATTCAAAGCTACTCCATGCCAAATTTCATTACAATTGGTTTAGCTGTGAAAGAGCAACAGACAGAGTTAATTTCACATTTATGATATTAATAGGGATTATTGAATATTGTAAAATACATGATTTATGACTGTTTTTATAGATGGCACTCCAGGCACCCCGAGACGTACTCCTCAAACCCCTGGGACTCCAAGAAGATCACCTCGCACTCCTAGTAATTTGGTGCCTGGTACATCACCTGCTCGTGCCTTGGCCTCCAGTCCATTGGGTAAGTTAATTTATTTAACTATTTTGTAACCTGCTTAGTTTCAAAAACAAAAATATATACTACAAGAATATTCTTTGTTTTTAGCTGTGATATAATAAATGACCATACAGAATTAAATATGGAATTATTTTTGTGAAATATTCTCATAAACAAAAAATTTGTTGTAATCAAAAGTGGCTATTTGGATTAGGATCTAAATTTCTATGTATCATTGTCATAAAATAGGAGTTAGTTGAAAGGTTAGATAGATAGATAGATACTCTTTATTGCACACCATGGATAGGTTTTCTATCAGAAAACATACAATGAAGAATATAAACATAAAATAAAAAACAGTAGTACCATGGGTGGCCTTATGGCAGTCTGCAATCTCTTACAGGCAACCTTAGGGTGTTTTGGTAACAGTGTTTATCTACTTGCAGGCTGAATAATTTATTATTATTTTATACATTATAAAATTTAATCTTTTGCATTTTGTAAAGGTTCTTCTTGACTTCTACAATTGCCATGCAAAACTGGGTCACCACACCTAAGCTTGTGAAACCTTTTATAATATACAGCAATAGAAATGATAGAAAAAAGAAAGAACACAACAACAAAAAGCTTGCATTGTGTTGGTATAAATATTCAAATCAATAACATCTGTGGCTCAGGCAGCTTTCTAAGTCAACACATACTTTATTTCAGAAATTAGTAATATATATAATATAATATAAGAATATAAATAATTAGTAGTAATAGTATATTTAATTTTATTGTGTGTTTAAATTATCCAATAGTAAAATTGAAATCTTCACCTTAATCTTAACCTTAGTGGTGCAGCAGTTGTGCACTCAATTGTTAAATTGGGATTATCAGTTTTGATCCTTTTTTTGTTTTTATGTGTGAAATCCCATCGGGCCATCTCCCCACCGTAAATTGACCCGGAACTCTTTAAAATAAAAGCATAAATAATAAATAGTGACCCACCCCGGCTTCGCGTGGGTGCTATGTAGATACTAATGTGGTGTCAGTGTGGAGTATCTAATTATATTATTATAATGAAATATATAATGAAAAATAATAATAAAATTAAAATCAGTTCATTTCATATTATTATAATGATTCGACTATACTACAGAGGCGGACAACGTACATCCCGACGGCCGCTCTGCCATCTGCATTTTAAATCTCTGATATCTTCGAAAATATACATTTAAATGATATGCTGTATGGGGCAATTTTGATCTACATTAAATGCACAACGTATCTAACGTAATTAGATAAAGAATAATACCGTAGTGTTTAAAATAGCTTCGTAAATAACCCATATTTTATTGTAATATGTAAAGGATAAAGGAACATAATGTCTATGTATCTATATCAATATATTTGATGTATATGTAAGTGTATCTATGTGTAGTGTTGTATGTGTGTACATCACATACCACACTACACATAGATACACATACACTATTGGATACACCATCCAAAGGTTGACTGGAAGAATGCCCTGGGCATTAAGTCCGCCGATGTACAAAAGTGCATAAAGTTAAATAAATAAAATAAAAATAGTTACTGTGGGTTATCCTTAGGAGATAGACATATAAAATCGCATACTTTTTTGTAGATGTTTTAAAGATGTGCAATTCTGTAGAGCATTATTTTGATCTATCTCATTTATCTTAAGGTTTAGCCAGCAGCGCTTAAAATGTAAGTGCACAAAAACATACTTTTTACGACATCACATATATATATCACGTATATTCGCTCGGATTTTCTCTATTGTAATATGGATGTATTATACATAGAAACCTTGTGCTTGAATTACTCTCTCTATTGGTGAGAACCGTATTAAAATCCGTTGCGCAGTCTAAAAGGTTGAAAGTTCTTAATATTCTTTTTCGTGTCAACGAGTGTACGTGTCCCTAAATCCCTAATCCATTAATCTTGAAATTCCGCACCCAGTCAGTTGCTATCCACAGCTCCTTTACAGTGCAGTTAGAGGGCACAGTGGACAAGAAAGCAAATGTGGCATATCTTGCAATGGAGCGCCGCATTCGCAGCGTGTTTGCGACTGGTCGATGTAGCCCTAATTTGCCATATTGCCCTTGCAACGACCACCCTGCATAGTGTGTAATTTCAGTATTGGCCATTGTAGTCAGTTTCCAGGTGGTAGGTTTCCTGAAGTGTAATGAAACCTGCCGGGTCAGGATGTTTAGTTGCCCACATTCGCTCTTTTGTCCGTTGTGGTGGAATACTATTATTTCAAGTAGATATACGAGACAATAAATTGGCCCGCGAAGAACTCTAAACCAATCACAGCGCCGAACGCGGCTACCGTGACGAAAAATAATAATCGCAATAGGTCCTCAGAAAGCTACGGCGGCTTTTTAAGCAAGCAGAGGGCATCTTGTAGTCGTACAGTGGGTGATGCGAATCATTTTCTTGGTTTTGTTTTTCCATTGCACAAGATATCTTTAGCCGAACATTTGGAGGAGCACTTCCTGCAAGAGCATATGTCTCGTTTAGAGCAACTTCTACCTCCCGTACTCTCTGACAGACAAAGGGAGCGTAGGAGCGCCCAGAGGTACGAAGAACATGAGGTTGCTCCCCAGAGCGATGATGTGAGTCGCCGCTACAGGTTGTTCATCGTCCCAATGGCTGTCTAATCCTCTCATCAAAATGGTTCGAACGCCTACCGGTTGTTGTCTGTATTAAAATTCAATCTTTTTTTTAGGCACCGATATAGACATGAGCTCACCACTAAACTACGGCACACCCAGTTCTTTAAGCACGCCACGGTCTTTGCTGCGTGGTGCCATGACACCAGCGCGCCAGAGGGCAGACCTTAGGAGCACCCAGCTGGGCCGCAATGTGCCTGCTCCAACACCCACCAGAAGAGTAAGTTAATGACAATTACTAGCATTATTTAGGTACGAAATTATATCACTGAATTTAGATGGAAGTTATTAAAGCTCAATTTGAAAATTTTAAGGTATTATTATTTAGGTATATATATACGCGTGTAGTAACACTAGGAGACACTACAAAAATTGTCCTGTATGCTTTCGTTATATTGACGACAAAACAAAAATCTTATAAGTGTTTCACTGTGGTTTTTTATTAGAATTCTAGAACAAACTTCCTATGCCTGATGCCTATCTAAACCATCCTGTGACCCACTCAATCTATACAGAGAAAATCTAATCAAAATCCGTTCAGTGGCTTATATGGATTACAGTGACATACACATACATGTAGTAACATTATATACACAATGAAGCTGAAATACAGATTGTATCGAGTTTAATTACATAAGTCAATTTTGCTATTCTTCTAGTTATTCCACAAATCAACTTTGCTTTTTGTCCATTTCTTGCTCAGTCAAATCCATAAATTATAAAATAAAAATAAATTGGGCAATATGATGTTCGTTCCCTAATATTTACCAGCTATTTACGATCTAGTTTCGGGATTATAATGCATATCTCATAAACTCAAATTCTTTATTAATACTTTTGCTTATTTAATACTCAGCACATACATCAAAATATTTAAATTTCCAATTTGTTTGCTAACTTTAAATGAACGCAAGTAAATAACTGAATGAGGTAAGGTTTCAGCCATTTAAGTAGATAATATACAGCTGGCATAACAGCAGTGACTTTAACACTCCATAAAATGGCGCGAATTCTTACAGCCTCATTCACTAGGTCCTGAGTGAATAATGAACGAAAATCTTCTGTCGATGGATTTCCTTCTGTCTGAAACAAATTAAATTATTTATTGTCACCAACACGGATTCGAAGAAATGTATACTTACAAGCTACAACAAACTACAAAACAAAATTACATGTCAAAGAGACCAAAAAAGGACACAACATAAATACAAGTTAAGTAATTCAACACTAGAACTTATAAAAGATAGGAAAAGTTTACTTGACTGCAAAATAAGGAAACAGAACATCCAAAAAATAACTAACTTAAGCAAAAAAATCAAAGAAGGCATCAAAAAGGACAGGAAAGTCAAAAGGTTGCAAACCCTAGAAAAACATATAGCGAGGACAGGAGGAACTAGAAAAGCTCTAAAAGAACTCCGAGAATCAAACCAATGGATCCCGAAATTGAAAAACAACCAAAAAAACGTAACAGGCCGAAAGAACATAAATAGAATAGCTACAAAATTCTACCGCAATATTTATTCCAACCAAGACACCACTACACATGTAAGTCGAGAAACCCTGAATTATAATCTGCTCTTAGTAAACCCAGAACCTGACATATTACCCAGTGAAACTAGGAAAGCCATACTAAGCCAAAAGTTAGACAAAGGTCCAGATAAAATCACAAACGAGCTACTGAGAGGAACTGTAGAAGAACTGGTCCCCATTTTAACTAAAATCTTCAACGGAATCCTGAGATCGGGACAGATTCCAGATCAATGGGAGACATCCCACATCATTCTCATACAATAAGTCTGATGTCTAACATATATAAAATTTTCTCCAAAATTATTTTAAGTCGAATAAGCAACATACTTGATGAAAACCAACCGAAGGAACAAGCTGGCTTTAGGAAAAACTTCTCCACAATAGATCACATCCACACAGTCAAGCAAATTATGGAAAAATACAAGGAGTACAACAAATCACTATATATGGCTTTTATTGATTATTCTAAGGCATTTGACAGCATTAGCCACACAGCCATATGGGAAAGCCTACGAAACCAGGGAATCCCGACAGTGTACATAAACACCATTAAAAACATTTACTCCAACAGTAAGGCAAGAGTACAACTGGAAACCTTGGGTGAGACATTCCAAGTAAAAAGAGGCGTCAGACAGGGCGACCCGATGTACCCAAAGCTGTTCTCGGCGGCGCTGGAAAACATATTTCGAAAGCTAATCTGGGACCACCATGGACTAAATATAGATGGTCAAAAATTAAACCATCTTAGATTCGCTGACGATATTGTTTTGTTTGAAGAACAGCCAGGGATCCTAGAAGAAATGATTCAAGATCTAAATAAGGAGAGTGAGAAAGTGGGCTTACTTATGAATATAAACAAAACGAAGCTATTAACGAATTCAAATAAATATGAAATAAAAATTAACAACCAACCTGTTGAATATGTAGATGAATATATCTATTTAGGACAAATCATCTCACATACAGACACAACTACAAAAGAAATCAAAAAACGAATAGCTAACGGATGGAAAAGATACTGGTCACTGAAAGAGATCATGAAATCCACAGATCTCAGTATAGGTATCAAAAGGAAGGTCTTCAATACCTGCGTTCTCCCATGTATTACATATGGGTGTGAAACCTGGGCTCTTACGAAACATCACAGAAACATGCTGGAACACTGCCAAAGAGCTATGGAACGAAGTATGATAGGTATTAAGAAACAAAATAAGATACGAAACACCGTCATAAGAAGTAAGACAAAAGTCACAGACGTACTTACTAGAATAGATAGTTTGAAGTGGAGATGGACTGGGCACATGCTGCGCGGTACACAAGAGAAGTGGAGCAACATCATAACAGACTGGTACCCTAGAGATGGGAGAAGGAACAGAGGAGGACAAAGCAAGAGATGGGAAGATGAACTAAAACTGACGGCAGGCCCAAAATGGAGAAGGGTTGCTAGAGACAGAGTACAATGGAAATTGTTAGAGGAGGCCTTTGCCAAGAGGCACACTGAACTCCGAGATATTTTATAACGAAAGAGACAACCACAATACAAAGAAAGAAGAAAGCAGTTCAGGATAGGAGGCTTATTATTATTATTTCTTTATTTCATTCTTTATACATATAAATTACATTTTTAAATATATTTATATACAAAAACAAAAAATAAAATACATTTAAAAATATAAAAAATAGTATCCCATCGGTATCGGGTACAGAGACCAAGATATCGGTGGTTAGGACTCCAGAGACAGAAACTTCCTCACAATACGTGCCGTATCGAGAAGAACTGCTTTCTGCATCAGACCCTTAATCCAACTGCCTAACGCGAGCCTCTGAAGATGTTGGTCGAGGCTCTTAGCAACTAATCCATGGGCCGATATGACTATCGGTACGACGATTGCCGAATCAACATCCCACATGTCGACAATCTCGTGGGCTAAATCCAAATACTTCACTTGTTTATCTTTTTCAGCTTTCAAGAGATTGTCGTCATGTGGAATGGTAATGTCAACAATCATTGCTCGGCGCTCCAATCGGTCTATTACCACTATATCAGGTTTATTGGCAACTATAGTCCTGTCAGTGATAATAGGGCGATCCCAGTACAACGTTGCACGACCATTTTCAAGAACTGGGTCGGGCACATATTTGTAGTACGGTAACTCTACAGTCACAAGGTTATACTTAAGAGCAAGTTGCTGATGGACAATCCTGGCCACTTGGTTATGTCTATGCAAGTACTCGCCGTTGGCAAGACGAGAACAACCGGAAATTATATGTCTAAGGCTTTCACCAGGACAATGACATGCCCGACAAATGTCTATTGTGCCGTCCTTCAGGATATACTTCCGATAATTATTCCGATTATTATTATTATTATTATTATACTTACTAAAATAAATCTCTTAGATAGCTATTCAGTATATTCATTGTTTTTACATTTAAAAAAAATTGTGCTAGACGAACTTCCGCTTAAACTAACTTTTTGAGCCTATTGTAAATTTAATATACGCTGGCAGGTCAACGTCAATTCGCAGTTCGAAGTTGACACTACACGGCAAATGTACGTCTATAAAATATCTGCTGTGTTCTGCTATAAAATATCATCCTTAAAGTGGATTCCCCCGATCCGATGTTGCTGATGGATGGGAACCAATCCACATATAAGCACAATCGCACGTCACGATAACTTCTACTAATATCTCAAAGCGATAACTTCTCTTTAACTTTATCAAAAGCATATTATTATTTTAAAATCAAAGATATTACCGTATCCAATGCACTTATACGGAAGATACTCAACTAGCCCGCAATCTTAACTTGATTGAAAGTAGAACTAGTCCAAGAACCATCGAAGGCCATTTCTTAACATGAGACCTACTGAGATTTACGATGTACTTAGTGCCCGATATCCATTTCTAATATGACTTTCTAACACTGAACATCACTTTATAGCCACAGAATTTCTAAACTAATAACTAACTAGTGATAAAATAAGTAAGGAATCATGGTTATACCTTTGAGAAATCAACGTTGAACGCGCAAGTACGACACAAAGGACAAACTATGCAATCAGGCTTCTCCTTAACCCGCCAGTACTGGTCCAGACATCGCTCACAGTATTTATGACCGCAGGTCAAAGTTGCCGCGTCGAAGATAGACGACAGACATATTCTACAACTGCTTATTATTGACGAAACCTTCGAACTTAAACTGGTTTTAGAATCTAAATAGTTGTTTGTGGATGCGGGATTTGAAGCTCGACTGTGTGAGAAGTCGATGCTTGAATCCCGCATATTTTATTGTTTGTATTTTAATGTTTTTACATATTTTTAATCAAATTTGACAGTTTGTTTTTTTCTGAGTATAAGATGACATTACACAACAAAGTTCCTGCCATTAAAGAAGTTTTGGATAATTAGGCTTCAAGGATTATTTGGTCAAATTTTGATAAATCTATATCAATAAGAACAATCTGTTATATAAAAAACCAATAAGGTTACAGTACAGTAATAAAAAAAAAGCAAATTCATTAAGACATTTTTTTCATAAACTAACTGTAATAAAACTGGTGCTTTGTTTCGATCACCTTTAAGAAAAGAGCGTACTCCCACCTTGAAGACCGGCAACGCGTTTGTGACTCCTGAGTTGCAAGCGTGTCTGTGGACGCTTGCAACTCAGGAGCTGTGGACTCCGTAGTCACTTTCCATAAGATGAACCACCTGCACCTGTGCCGTCCATACCATAAAAAATTAACACGTCGCGATATGTCGTGCAGATGTAAAACATCGATATTAATTTGTAGAAATAATGAGTATAAAAGAATAGCTTCTGAAAGGGAATAATAAATATAGCATAATTAACAGAGTCACTTGTGCATGCCGACGCGACGCTACACCGCTTCACATGAAAGCATGGAGACGCATGTCGTGGTGACGCGTTGCCACGCCTCAACCTGTCTGACCCTCCGCATTAGATGTATACATCAAAAATACATTGATGGATAGATCATCTGCCTACCCTTTTCCCAATGTTATTTGGGGTCGGCGCAGTATGTATGATTTTTCCATTCTATGCGTCATCTCACTGTTTACTCCCTTCTTAGCCATATCCTCACTGACGCAGTCCATCCACCTCTTCTTCGGTCTGCCTCTTCTCTTGTACCCTTCAACTCTCATACCTAAAACTTTCTTCACCACATTTTCCTCATCCCTCCGCATGACATGTCCATACCAAGATAACCTATTACTTCTTAACTTTTCATCCAGTGGCGCTACTTTCAGACTCCCCCGTATATACTCATTCCTAACCTTGTCCATCTGAGTCACACCACACATCCAACTCAGCATTCGCATTTCGGCTACGTTCAGGCGTCTCTCATCCGTTCTCTTAATGGGCCAACTTTCAGAGCCATACAGGACGGCAGGTCTGATAATAGTTTTATAAATTTGTCTCTTCAGTGTTGAGGGGAAACCGGGGTCACAAGTTGTTCCCGTTACCTGTCGCCACTTCATCCATCCATTGATGGATAGATATATAGATAAAATGTTACCATTATTTTGATTCAACTAATTCCGCAGGGCGAGGAAGGCGCCGTCGAAGCTCCGTCAAGCGAGCCACAGCTCGTAGTGTGGGGCACAGACGTCGCAATTGCCGAATGTCGCGACAAGTTTGTTAAGTTCATACAGAGATACGTTGAGCCGACTGCAGTTACTAACGAGCCTTTATATGAACAGAAGTTGGAAGAGGTAAGTGGCGGTAGTACTAAGATTTTAGGATATGTTTTACTTTTTTATATTTATACTTTAATATCTTATTTTACATTGCAACAGATAAACACGCTAGAGGAGCCATTCCTGGATGTTGATTGTGAACATGTCAAAATATTTGATCCTAAATTACATCGGCAACTGGTCTGCTACCCACAAGAGGTAAGTAAAAGTTATATTTTTTATTTACCTACAAAAAGCATATGTCACATAGTCCTTTCGCGTTAAGAACATAGTGATGCATCGATCAAGTCCTGTACCCCGACCAATCATGTTCTAAGCTTTCGAACGAAATGATAATTTCTGTTAACCTGATGGGACTTAATCGATGCGTCAAGGTTTTCTTAACGCGAAGGAAATATTATCTTTAAAACTGATGATCAATTTAACAATAACAACACTTTAGGTAGTGCCAGCATTTGATGCGGCCGTCAATGAATTGTTCTTCGAAAGATATCCGGCTGCTGTACTGGAACATCAAATTCAGGTTCGGCCGTTCAATGCACCGCAGCGTAATATGAGGGACCTGAACCCTGAAGGTTAGTGTTTTAATACATAAAGTAATTGTTAAATCGTAGTATTGTCAAAGAGGATTATGAAATTAAAGTTTTTCGCTTAACAATTAATCTATGTAGTGTAGAACATTATCTTCGAAGATAATGAGCATAAAAGTCTTCAGATAATTCTATGTTCAATTGCTTTTTTGGCTGACAATGAAGATGAAGAATACTTGTTACGTTTTCAAAAATTTTTGTGTGAAGATCCACAATCATTGGTTCTGTGCCTAAGTGTTAATAAAATAATATCCAGAATACGTAAATAAATATGATTATTTCAAAATATACTTATGTCTCCAATTGACAGCAGTAGGTTTGTTACTTATTACAGCAGTGAAACTAAAATTATAGTCAGCAAAATTTGTGCCATTTAATTCGCCTTTGTCTACCTCTTCGAGGAAAAATGCGTGAGTGTAAGTGTGTGGCAAAAGCAGGAATTTTGGTATTTATCTTTGTTTTTTTTGTGGTCAGATATCGACCAGCTAGTGACGCTGTCGGGCATGGTGATCCGCACGTCGTCGATCGTGCCGGAGATGCGCGAGGCGTACTTCCGCTGTGCGGTGTGTGGCGCGGCGGCCACGGCGGAGCTGGAGCGGGGCCGCGTGCCCGAGCCCGCGCACTGCGCGCACTGCAACACCGCGCACTCCTACCATCTCATACACAACCGCTCGCACTTCAGCGACAAGCAGCTCGTCAAGCTGCAGGAGTCGCCGGGTAACACATTTGATTTCATCAGTTACCTTTATCGAATTATTTTCCGGTTTTTTTCTTAATTTTATTTTTGATCCACGCATGTGTAACATTGCAAAGCAAGTTTATAATGTAAAGATCTACCGAACCAAAAGTTAGTGATCTGTTATTCCTTGAGCGGCTACTATCGAAACCCTTGTACAATGTGGTAAATGTGTTTGTGTATCACATGTTCTCAATAGCATTGACTGTGTGCAGACGACATGCCGGCGGGGCGCACGCCGGCCACGGTGAGCGTGCTGGCGCACGGCGCGCTGGTGGAGCGCGTGGCGGCGGGCGAGCGCGTGAGCGTGACGGGCGTGTTCCGCGCCGCGCCCGCCACCGTGCACCCGCGCAAGGCCACGCTCAAGGCGCTGCACAAGACGCACATCGACGCGCTGCACTACCACAAGGTGCACAGCGACCGCCTGCTGGAGACCGAGGAAGGGTAAGCTACTCACAGAGCGTCGCGTGTGGCCGCGGACGTGGACCGATCAAAATGATAGTCTAGTACGAAAACTTTGAAAATGATTGACGTGCGGGACTCGATAAAGTCCCGCATCCTGACCTATCATTCTCACTATTTTCTTAACTCGAATAGATTGTACTTATTTTCGACTGGAACTAAATTATTATTGTTTTTACAGGAAAGAGCACCAGTTCCCACCAGAACGCGTTGAGCTATTCAACGCTCTAGCCGCGCAGCCGGACTGCTATGAACGTTTAGCGCGTGCCATCGCCCCCTCTGTCTACGAGAACTTAGACATCAAGAAGGGCTGTTTACTACAACTACTTGGGGGAACTAAGAAAAACTTTAATGCTGCAGGAAGAACACATTTCAGGTAAAGATCATTCAAATCCCGAAGTATATAAATGGGCCCGAAGTATATAGTGTACTTATATTATTGTGACAATGGTTTTGCTTTTATATAATATGTCTTAATGTCGTATAAATAAGGATAAGTAAATTTATTGCATTTTACTTATAGCATTTTTCAATTTAAAAAAAGAACTAAAAGCTAAAAGATGCTCACTGTTAACAAAAATAATATTTAACGTTAAATGAACAATAAAAAGGAATAGCTGTATAATATAGTCATAAAATATACTCAAACTCAAAATATCTTTATTTCATAAAATTGTTTGAAATCGTCTTTATATAATCTAAATATGTAATCGTCGACTCTAAAGTCATGGATCACGAACATGATAGCAAAAATCTCTGTTTTGTCAAATATTTAGCAAAATAAATATTAAATATAATATAGAAAATCTATTATACACCTGTGCCGAACTACAACCGCCCGTTTCCAAGTGATTAAGCCTTATGAGAAGAAAGAGCAAACAAACTCACGGCATAAAATGACACTTGTATTTATTTCAGATCTGAGATCAACATTCTGTTATGTGGTGACCCCGGTACGAGCAAGTCCCAGCTACTGCGCTGGGTGCACGGGCTCGTGCCGCGCGCCCAGTACACGTCGGGCCGCGGTTCTTCAGCCGTGGGGCTTACTGCTTACATCACCAAAGACCCAGACACAAGGCAATTGGTGCTGCAAACGTGAGTCAAGCTATCAACAAGAAAAGAAAACTTGTTATATTACTGAAGTTGCAAAAATAATCATTTGATCATAAACCGCATTGTACCATATGAAGCATTTTAATATCAGGATTTAGGCTTGGGTATCGTACCTTGTCAAATACTCAAAAAGCAAAATTGATTAATTTTGTTTTTTGTTTCTAGTGGTGCTTTGGTACTTGCAGACAACGGCATCTGCTGCATCGACGAGTTCGACAAAATGAATGATTCTACGCGGAGCGTGTTGCATGAAGTAGGTACTTGAAGTGTTCTCGAAGGTTTAAAAATTGGACAGTGTAATGAGGGACTAATATCATGTTTTTACGTAATAATATGCTCTCATCAGAAGGCGTTCAAAATGATTCTAAATATATCTATATTTGTTATATTTTATACGTTTTTCGGGCAAAGATGAACATACACATATACGAGCTAAAATCATGACCCTCCTTTTGGCTTCGCGGTAGTTGAGTAATTTCGTATTTATCCGGCTCGAAGGACCATTTTCCAAGAGGGTCCTATGACTTTGGTACATAAATAAAATATAGTAGACTGTATAAAATAAGTAAAACAAAAATAAATATGTAAGGCGAGCGTCGTTGTCCGAACGACCTCGCGCCGCTGTCGTCTTCTCCTGTGCGCCGCTGTCGTCTTCTCGTGTGTCACTTCTGTGCAGTAGAGATAAAGCCAAACTTGAACACTCTCGACAGCTATAACAAACTATCCCCTCTTTCTAGGTAATGGAGCAACAAACCCTGTCCATAGCCAAGGCTGGTATCATTTGTCAACTTAACGCCCGCACATCCATCCTGGCGGCCGCCAACCCCGCAGAGTCGCAGTGGAATAAGAACAAAACTATCGTTGAAAATGTTCAGCTGCCTCACACTCTAATGTCAAGGTACAAGATTCTTATTTTGTTATTGCCTTATCTACTCCAAAGATAAGATAGAAAAACTGGCGAAGTGCGTGCCTAAATAACGGTTTTTTAGTAAAGTGAATCCATTATTATTAATTACACTTGGTCACAACGAAACTCGACGACTAAATACAAATTTAGTGTATAATTATCAAATTTCTTAATATTCTTATTCTATATTAGAAACTACAGCTGTACCCTGCCACACTTGACATGACGTGGCACATTGTTGTATCATTTATGTGAAATGAGAAATAAAACTGACTTGAAAAATCTCTTTGAAGCCGTTTGTGTCAAAATTTGAACTCAATCGGTACAGAACTTTAGTTTTTGAAGCGTACACAAATCAAATGAACATTTATATATATACATATATAGATAACTTATCTACATCGACAACTTATCTAAGATAAGTTGTAAGATGTAAATACACCAGCACCAATAGTAGGGTAGATGAACTACCAGATGAAATGACCAGTCTCATTGTCGATTTTCAGATTTGACCTCATATTCTTAGTACTAGACCCTCAAGACGAAGTGTTTGACCGACGCTTAGCCTCGCATCTTGTGTCTCTCTACTACAAAGATCCAACAAACCCGCAGGACGATGAGGACGCTGTAGTAAGTTCTCCATCTACATATTCTACAATGATAATATATGCCCGATTTTGTATTTTGATTTTTTCTAAAAACCAATTAAAAACACCATCGCCGTTTCATTAGGTTTCATTGTTTAGGTTTTTAATTATTCGGAAATAGTTAATTGATACATAAATGTAAATGCTCATTTTATGATTTTCGGAGATCCATTTTGGGTCTAAAAGTTAGTCGTAGACGTTTGTTGTAATAATAAAAAATGTTTATAAGATCATTTGCTATATACATAGTTCGTATTCATAGTTAAAATTTTGAATGAAAAAACAAAGGTAACGTGTCGTGCAGCGCAGGTCTAGCGCAGATCGATAGGTCTATTCACCCCTTTTAAAATGTCCTTTTGCTTTTGAACCCCAGAATACGAATGTTGAAAATCATTTTAATTTAAAAATAATGGTTACGGGGCTATGCGTTTTGTCATTATTTACTTGTCAAGCGGTGTGTATTCCATCTCTGTTTAAAAGACAGAGGTTGCGCTCGAAGGACCACGAGAAGGAGTATACCAGGTCGTATTTAAAAGAAAGATTTAGTTGTTCAACAGGAGCGATAACTTTAATTCACAACCGTACTCATTGACGAGTGACGGGAGGGCAAGGTGCCGAGCCGCAACCTCTGTCTGTTAAACAGAGATGGAATAGCCCTTTCAGATAAATGGAACTAATTTTTCAAGTATAAAACTATAAAAATAGTATAGTTTATTAAAAAGGCTTAAATAACTAAGTATTAAGTTGTAGTTATCTTGATTAGCCGCATGATTGAGCTCATGTTGCAATTCTCTATTAAATTAAGTTTTTTTTTTCGTTTTATAAGAGCCCGAATATGTTTCAAATATTCCTATAATAGAACTATTATTGAATGGATTTTTTTTCAGGATATGTCACTAATGCGCGACTATATAGCGTTCGCAAAGGAACACGTACAACCGACGCTCAGCGAAGCAGCTCAACAAAGACTTATTGATGCTTACGTGGATATGAGGTATGAACTTAACATAATTCATTATATTTATGTATGACACAGCTCGACATAAGTCTCTTTTCATAATGAGTGCAGTTAAGTCATAGCAATATCATGCTGGACTACAAAAACCGTCGAAAATACTATAGATAACTATCTAAAGCACAGGCTTCCTAATGATATTTTCATCTTTTGTTTTCAATAAGTAATTAAAAACAATTTATTATAAGTAATAAAACTGCTAACCCGGTTTTACCGTAGCGCCGCAACGAAGTTGTAGAAATTGTTTTTTTATTTGTTGACCAACCAGTTTATTAATTCGTTAGTTTAATAATTCGTTTTGTTTTTAAGTGATTTCGTATTGCTACCAAAAAGAAAATTCTCCTATAACCGGTGGGAACAACGTATTTTGAGTTTGCTAGGTGTATCTAAATATTTTTTGCAATTTCGAATCACGACCATTTATAATTTTACAGGCGAGTTGGAAGCGGTCGTGGTCAGATTTCTGCTTACCCTCGACAGTTAGAGTCGCTGATTAGACTCGCTGAAGCCCACGCCAGAGTCCGACTATCCCCTGTAGTTGAAATATTAGATGTTGACGAGGCAGCAAGGTACGTATATTTTTTGAAATTTAGTAATATAAGTTTATTTTCTGAAAGGAAGGAAGGCGTATCTTAAGACATATCTAATTTGGTCTGTAGTTTTGTGTAGTAAGGATAAGTGTGATAACGAATATTGATAATATGCAGGCTACATCGCGAGGCCCTCAAGCAGTCGGCGACGGACCCCGCGTCGGGCCGCATCGACGTGGGCATCCTCACGACGGGCCTCGGCGCCGCGGCCCGCCGCCGCCGCGCCGACCTGGTGGCGGCGCTCAAGCAGCTCATACAGCCCTACTCCAAGCCGCACACTCTCACGCACGCCAAACTGTTGCAGGAGATCAACGCTAACTCACAAACGGTATGTAAATGTTCAGTTCTCTATCTTCCATTTATTTTTTAGAATTATATTAAATTGTGCATATTTATATACATGTAGATATAAGAACCGTCGACTGAAAGAATTTTAATTTAGTGGTAGTATAGATAGATTAAAACTAAATATTATATGTTGCAGACTGTATCAAGAGAACAGTTGGACGAGGCGCTCCGTGACTTACAAGACGAAGGCAAAGTAACCGTCGTCAGCCATACTCACCTCCGATTATGTTGATCTGATTCGATCGTTAAGTTTCCAATTTATATTTGTTATGATTATTAATATAAGATATAAATTTCTATTTTGTCGTATTTATTTCAACACATTATAACCACACTGTTTTTTTATCGTTTGGAAACTCACACTAGTCATGACCTACCGGATCTAACATATATATCTAACACGGTGTTACGTCACAAGTGAGAGCATTACACAGGTATACTATGAGACCGAAGGCTCAACCAATTTGAGACTTTAGGCGCGAAATTGAGCGGCTAAAAGGTGTGTATCCGCGGCCCCACAGAAAACCGGTGTTAAATATTTTTTTATTGCTTTTCACTGAGTGAGAGGTTACAGGAGCCCAAACCTGCCTCTAAACTACATCAGTGGTATAAAATTTTTTCGACTGTATGAAATGCCAGTTTAAAAGATGTTAACAAGCTAACGTAAATAATCAAATAACTGCCTCACTTTTAAGTGCTGCAGCTTGTACTAAAAGCGTGAGTTACAAGATCTTAATTTTGAAATACATTTCTAATTTATTGCCACTTAACGAACGTTATTAATCAGATAACTAACTTTGGGCCAAGATTAAAATCATAAGTTGATTTTTTTAAATTTAACGATTACAATAATTAACCCTTTTACCGCCACGACAATAATGACAGACTGTGTGCTCTCTACGCCAAGCAATAAATACCTTGTTTCGTACCTACAAAATAATCTTAAATGTCAGGCATATTTCTCACTTCTTAGCTAAGTAATCATTACACCAAATTAACAGCTTCAGATACGAGCAGATTTTATAACAAAAATATTCAATTTTTTTTAATGACAGTAATCTCGTTTGTGATGCTATCCACTTTACTCATTATTATTAATTATATATGCCTCTGATTGTTGTAATCATAATCATTAATTTAACTTTTGGATTAACTGTGTCCAAATAAAATGTATGATAAAAATACATGAAATAGGTATTTTGTATGAAAACAAAATCTAGTCATTTCAGAATGAGTTAAAAGGCGACGATTTGGTTCATACTTTTATATAATACTTTGGAAAGGTAAAGGTAGGTAAAAATACAACAATGTTCAATAAATTATCTTTATTTACAGAATACTTTAATCAGTGTATCAAAAAAGCCTTTGGCTAAACAACAATACAACAATGAGCTCGCATATATGTCTAGCTTAATATAAGTCAAACAACAACCTTGTGCTTTAAGGCAAACAAACTTACAATTTACTCTTTGTTTTTTGTAGATTCCATTTCAAAATCTCTATAATGAAATCTTCACTCATGACAATAAATTTGTCTGGAATAGAGGCCAAACAGTGGAGTATTATATTTATAGGCTATCTACTCCCTATTTACTAAAAATCTCTTTAGCTATTATCTTCAGCTTATAAGTAGTAATGCAATTTTTTTTATCGTTGCGTGGTCTCAGAAATTATAATCGTGACCGCAGTTCAGTAATAATGAAAGTCCCAGAGAGCTAGTTTCTTGCCAGGTTAGGATTAACTAATGACAAGTGCATCGTAGAAGAAATTACCGAGACATAATATGTGATAAGAAAGGAAAAGACTTTCCTCTTCTTCCTCAAAGGAAAAGACGAGGAAAGACTTTTCCTTCTGAAAATACCTTAAACAATTTCTAATAAGCTTTTCTCTGGGTCAATTATTATAACTGCAATATGACGAATCAAAATAACTGGTAGTTTTATACTTTTAAATGGATTCTTTTTTTGTCATTTCAACAGAAATGGGTTGTAACATTGAACCATGAATTTGAAAGTTTTTGAAGTAGTCACTTTTGTCTTTATGATAATTAAACATCTAAGAAGATTATCTTGGGCGTCTGTTCGACACGACGCCAGCTTCTTCCCGATTCTAACTTCTGAGGTTATTTTTCATAACAAGATCAACTTTATAAAAGTAGAAAATATAATGTAGCACTATGAAAACATAATTAAAATATCTATTTAATTAAATTATTTTAATAAATTAAAATAGAATATGCCTTACCCGTATCCATTACGACATACACAAAATAAATTAATTATTTTTCATCATTCATTCAATTGACAGTGTTCTATTATTCTTTGTTAAAGTGTAGGAAGAAATTTAAGAACGGAAACTTGTCAAAGAAACGTAGATCCTACTTCGTAGAGCATAAGATCCTAAGCGAAGTGTAGGAAAGGGTTGATAACATTCTTTAACAATTATACTTTTAGGCATATGATTATAAATCCACCTATAATAGTTCAGTTTGTTTCATATGACTTAAATGATGCAAAAACCGTCGTATTACTTCTAAGGAACCATGTTTTTTTTTGTCATTCTGTCAACCGGCACTTACAATAGTTTATGCTATGTTAGTGTTCCACAAAGCGGGAAAAAGTTTTTTTTAATCAAATTGCCACACTAAACAGTACAATATAAAGAGCGGTCCTTAACATTGAACTGAATGTGCGTTACAAAAATTGACAAATAATTATTACTAGCGTCGTTATCAGGAGGTTGTTTTAGGCTCGGTGTTGTTGGTATTGTTGTCAGTTGTGGTGATGTTGTTGACATTGTGAATGGTGGCGCCGTCGTCGGCGGGTGGCGCTACTTTATCGGGGACACGTCCATTGTCATTGTCGTCGCTGCGAGCGCACGCTTCGAGCACGTATTTATTAAATTGTTCTGGTTTGTCTAGGTATACGTGATGGCCAGCTCCGTTAATTACCTAAAATAGAGTTTAAAAAAATAAATGCACTGTCATGGAAGTTTAGCAGAGGTCGAGGAAAAATAAAGTAATAATCAGAATTAGAAGCCTGTCATAGTATTCTAGACTACTTGTAATAAAAAAAAGATTTAGGTAATAATAATTATTACCTAAATCTTTAGTGTTAAGAGTAAAGATTTAGAATCATTTATATATTTATTTCTATTCTAGGGTAGACGTAAAAATTTAGCACTGAATTTGACAGGCCTGTTTATTTAGTGGTTCCGAGTACTGAACCATAGATTGTAGATTCAATTTCACTCAGGATCAATATTCCTGTGATGAGCAGGATCATTTACTGTGTCTCATATTAGTATCTCAAATTATTATTATTTAAAAAAATCATGATCAAGCTATTGACATGATGTAACTTAAAATAAAGTGATCAAATTTAAAACACATGTTACACAGAACACCTTACTCGGCACAATTCACACAATATAAAATTCACAAATACATTTAAGAATAATGAGCTAAGACTACCTGAACGTAAGTATTTGCAGTGGTCCTCTGGTCAGTGAGCACCTGGCCTGTGCTGTTATCTACCCAAGATCTGGAGCCGTACAGCACTGTGATTGGCAGTTTAGGATCCAGCTGGTCGATCCGACCGACCATTGGGTTTTTGGCCCAACCGAAGCCTGACATTAGTGTGTGGAAAGCACTTTCGCCACTGAAATGGACTATTAATGGTTATTATAAGCTATGAGGAATAATTGAAAAGAAAAATATGGATTCCTATTTCCGAGTCTTCTTTAAATTTTATCTGTAAGTATTCTAGTAATTAAGTCTTGCCACTTTGTCTTGGCTCTTTTCTTCTATTTTCTTGCAATCATCAAGCTCATGCAAAGCAATAGGGAAGCAATAAGGAAAGTAAACAAACTAATATAACAAAATAAATACTGTTACAAGCTTTTAATGCCTTACAATTATTTTAAAAAGTATATAACCAATCTTATAAATTTCTATTTTTTTAAACTTCGAAAGATCAATTCTATTGTCATAATAATTCTTGTAGCAACAATATTATAACAAATTAAAACAGATAATAGTAAATGACAATTATTGACACGTGTCAAGTGTAAAATGGATAGAAATAAAAAGGAACAATTGAAAAATATCAGGAACATGAAAGTATATTAATAAAAATTAACACACCTAGGCGTTTGGGAGTTGCATTGGTAGATATATTCTGGGATAATCTTCTCAGCATCAGGCACATAGTTTAGGAATTTTCTCGATATATCCGGTCTGGTCTTACCAACCAGCCACTTGCCAGCGGGCCCGGCAGCACGGACAGCCCACAAGGGGTTCAGCGGTTGGACGGCAGTGACGATAGCTCGAACCCACAGGGGTAGGTTTGTATTTTCATAAGGATTAGCTGGTTTCTGTGGAAAGCCCCACGGGTCGGCTAAAATAAGATGGCGGACCCTAAAAATAGATTTTGTATCAGTTGTGAATGTTCAATATTGTTTTAGACAAAGATACACCTATTCTGTATGTCTGTATAGATGATGATGATTCAAATACATGCTTAGCGGTTTCTTTGCAGGTCGGAATTATGGCAACAGCTTTTTCTAATCCTATTAGTAAACGAAATAGGTATGGATAGCTAAAGTATTATTTTAACGTAAGTGCAATTTAAAGTAACAATTAAAAATAAAACGAACCTATTTTATCGAAATTTTCAGATGGATTTTTGCTTATCTTTCTATCTTTATGTAGTAAGATGGGATTTCAAATTATTTTGATATTTATTATTTTGTTATCTAGCGTACATAAGCCGTACAATGTAGCAAGGAGTTTATTAAATCGCACAATCAAAGTTTTTGCGCTTAGTATACATATTACAACTTGCCAACATCAATGGGCCGTAGGCCGTCAAGCACCTAGCCTGGGCTGAGCATTCTCTCTGTGTTGGAAATCTGTTCCTCCATAATTTGTTTATGTAATACTTGAAATATTAATAAATACATTTTGGAATTAAATCAATTTATATTAATGAACTTTTATTCCTTGGTTGTTACATATAGTATTGGAAGTAACTTACCTATCAGGGTATTTTAAAGCATAAGCAGTCGCGATATAACCCCCAAGGCTGTGCCCTAGTAGGATGAATTGCCCCAGGTTTACTTCACGCCGCCATTCCTCTACAGATTCCACCCACTGTGCCTCCGCCTTCTCAGCATTACAAGCAAATTTTGGACGCGAACTACGTCCGAAACCTACAACAATGTATAAAGAAAATCAATGTTATGAAAGTTATAACAACATTATAACGTCATTGTTCACGGCGTATATTGTATATATATTTGGTGCAATAAGAATAAAAAAATAATGGTTTTAAATATTTTCTTTTAACAAATTTTTCACTTGTTGAGAGCTCCATAATCAATAGTAAATATGCTTTTAAGTCTTATGCACGGCGTTCTTTTACGTTCATACGCAAGATATATCTAAGTACGCGGTACGCCATTTGAGATATACGTGAACCTAAAGAGGCAGCAAGTGTTCAATATACCACCGATTTAAGACGTCTGAGACGTTTGATTGGGAATTTGGTATGAACCACCTTCCTAATAATACTAATCAATGAATAAACATAAGAGGTAGGTACATACACAAACATCACAGTTATGGCTCTCTGTCGGCACCAACGTATCCCATGTTGTATATAGTATTACATAGCGTATTACATAATGATTTTCGTTACAAATCCCTTTGAACTCATAGTACCAACAACAAGTAAACCAATTTGTTTTCATTGACGAAGTTAAGAGTGTAGTTTGGCAAGCGTTATACCCAGACGCCCGATAGTCTAGGGCTAGAATCTTGGGCCGTAGCCAAGTTTCTAGCCCGTTTCTACCACCGTTAGCCACGTTACAAGAACATAACTTATTAAAGCACTTGATTATCTCCAGTAGTAACAGTAGTAGTAGAAGTTGTTTTATTTAAAGCTTGGAAATCCGGAACGAATATATGTACATTTGTAACAAGGACATATTTTATTTATTGATCGGATAAATTCCTGACCATTTTTTAGTTTTGATTGGTAAAAAGGGCTCGTGGCTAAGTAGTACCTAGTGGTAACCGAGTAGGTTTACACAATGAAAAGTTAAGCAAAAGCCCTAAAGTCTGGCAACAGTCTTTTTACAGAAGTTCGATATCACCTAGTACTTTGGTTGTGGAGGTCTCATGGCAGTCCATCCGCGAAAAAATACGAAGTTCAGCCGTATCGTAGTAGAGTTAAAGCCGATCCCAACCTTGTTTGGGTAAAATAGCTCGAAGGAGGAGGATTGGTAAAAAATCTAAATCTATCGAAAGAAGCTTCTCACCATCAATTTGATCTTTTTTATATTAAAGAGGTTTATTGACATCATTTTAAAAATAATTAAACGAGCAAAGTATTAAATTTTAGTTTAGATGGGAACTCTGTTAGAAGGAATACACTAAGATAATAATTAAGAAAAAAAATACCTAACAAATCGATAGCATACACAGGTCTGGTTGCAGCGAAGGCGTCAAGATTCGGACACCACAGCGCCAGGCCCGCACCCATTCCATGGAGTAACACCAGCGGGGTCTTCGGCGACTCGTCGTTCAAAGATATTGTCCATATCTTGTCACTTTGTCCTACCACGCTGCCGATGTCTACGTAGAAACGTTTGTAAGCTGTTTTTAAACCTGTTGAAACATTAATTTTAGTAGAAATATACGAATTTATTGCGGCTCAAGGAAGGCGTAGTTGTACGTTACGTTAAAATCTTCATTTTTATAAATGCTTGCTTTTACTCAACAATCGGACCAATTTTCAGTTCAATGGAAATCGTTGTAAGTCATATAGTCGCGTGATCCTGAATAGTAATTCCAGCCTAAAAGTACATAGTTTACCGTCTATTGGTTTATTATGGTGAGTCATGTCCGCGGTGAATGGTTTTAGTTTAGTGGTAAGGAAATACTACTACAGCGATTTTTTTATCCGTGTAGTGACGGATTAAGAATACGGAATGTCACTACCCCAATTCATCCCGTGGGTGTCGTAAGAGGCGACTAAGGGCTCAAAACAACGCAGGACACCAGCACTGCAAAAAGAAGGAAAACTTGATACAATCCCTATACCAACCCGTCTGGCCAGCGTGGTATAGTAGGCCAAAACCTCCTTTCTAAGGAGAGGCCTATGTCCAGCAGTGGACTATTAAAGGCTGTTGATGTGATGTGACTACAGCGATTTTAGTGAAGCTTATGGCTTAGGTTATAGTTAATACTTCATAATAGGAACGTAAACGTATGTATCTCTCTACTTTTGTTCAAGATCACACACACCCACACTGACACGCATTCACGCACGCACACACTCATAATCAACAATACTTGAGCACTATACTTACTTATTTTTTTAACAGATAGGTAATTGTTTTTTTTACTGATCTGCAAATTACAATTTTTAAGTTTTTTTTAGTATGCTTTATTATTATTAAACAGCTAGATTTGGCAATTCTGTTCGCAAAGAAGGGGAAAGTGGAGACATCTAGAAGAAATAAGGTAAGTACGGAAGTTAATACCATATTTAAATAAAAAATGTGTGAACACCGACGAATAACTCGTCACGTTAGACACCATAATGTATTGCGTGCTTATTGGCACTGGAAAGCTTAAAACAAAGTTCCTAGTTACTTGCTAAAATATATATTGTATAAGGTGTTTTGAATTAGAAAAGTTTATTACATTTCTACATGCTACGCTTATCAGAGCTGATAACGATAAAGCTAACTACTCTTGATAGTAAATATTACTTGTATTCGGTGCTTGTATGCGTTACTATCAAAATATTACATCGGCACAATATTTAGTTTAAATATTTTTTTAAATTATTGAAGTACGTAAATAACAAAACTTAGAATAACTCTATGTTATTTATGGTAATCTATTAAATGGAGTATCTGTACAAATGCCTACGACGTGCTTCAAATATGAACGGCAAACAGTATCTGATTAAAGAAATCAGTCACGCTTTAAATTTGCAGCCACAATAAGATGAAGTAATATGGCCAAAATATATCCACTAAACAGGAAGGAGTACACTAGTCCAAAAGCTACAGAATGACTAGAAAAAATTAATAGAACAGAGTTCTTTTGTAAAAGGAATACATTTTAGTATAACTGATTACTTTGTATTGATTTATCTAACAATAAGTTGTAATACAATTGAATTATCGGTAAAGATTTAATTCACAAGGTATTATGATCTGAGAGATAATAAATCGATTATGGTCGGCGACCTTTAGGTTGGTTATCGTTGACTTTGGGCATATTTTTTTTTACATTTCGATTCTTTTAATTTGAGAACATAAATATAATTTAATAACATAAATATTAAAAGTTTGAAAAGTAGTACTAGAAAATCTTTATCGGTACGATAGAGAACCTCTCTCTATTTGTGGTTCATGCACTGTAACTAGGTCAGTAGGTAATTCCGGAATATTGCAATAAAAATTACTTGTCAACAACGCATCCTATTAGAAGGATTGTATTTAGATTAGATTATAAATATAAAAGAAGGTTCAAAGGAAAACTTCATTTTTTTTTCTACTTAAGAACTACGTCATTTAGGAATTGATTTTGCCAGTTATTTTTTATTTGAAAAGGTATACTGCCTGTTGGGTACTATTAAATTTTGAATAAAAAATTGGTGGTATTTTTAATGGTCGAAACCTTAGGAATTAAGAATATAGTTTACTAGCTGACCCGCGCAACTTCGTCTGCGTCTCTCAATAGTAATAAATTTTCTCCGTTTTTGAAACATTCTTCATTGGTGCTCCGCTCCTATTGGTCTTAGCGTGATGATATATAGCCTATAGCCTTCCTCGATAAATGGGCTATCTAACACTGAAAGAATTTTTCAAATCGGACCAGTAATTCCTGAGATTAGCGCGTTCAAACAAACAAACAAACTCTTCAGCTTTATAATATTAGTATAGATTACAATTTATCATGATGTGGTCGTATTGATGTCCGTTATTCTTTTTTTAAGAGTTAATTATATGCGATATATTCACAGACAATAACCAACGTTTACTAAATTTGTAGTATGTAAACATGTGCCTACATATTTATTTCTTTAATACTGTATTATAGTATATAGTAATATTTCTCATATCTATTATCAGAAAATAAATAACTAGTATATTTAACTATAAGAAGAGTTGATGCAGGCTCTTCAAACTTTAAAAAAGCGCTTTAATGAGTCAATGCTGACTGCACTGAAGGAGTAGTGGTTTAAGCGTCACCTCGACGCTTACTACTACTTTGTGTGATCCACAAATTGTTGTTCCGAGTCCGGGTGTTCTTTGTGTCCATTTCATGTATGTTTTTAAAGTTCCCCGCCTCACAGGATATATTAGTTGTCTTTAAAAAATACGAAAAACGAATGCTATTTTAGAATGAGCTTGCTGCAACGCGAGTTTTCATTTCAATATCTAGAACACTGTGTAAACTGACGTCTTTAGGAGTCAGTATACGATAAGATAACAATGGCCCAGCTGTAATACGCAACAAGCTGGTACCCAAGGCCGCTCGCGGTGTCAAGGAGGTCAAAACATATACTGACTACACCTCTACAGCTGTGGCTGGTGGACTAGGTAAACGTAAAAACTCTACATGGTTTAAGCATCTAACACTATGGATCTCGAGTTTCAAATCGAGCTCGAGTAAGTAACAACAACCGGTCCTGTCGTCCGTCCGCTCCGTGTTCCGGAGATCTTGAATTTAAAGATAAAAAAATCCAAGAAGTTTTATTACAAATTAATAATTTATGTAACTCACGATAGAGGAATCTAGATAAGTTTTAAGGAGAGAAATGAAAATGAATGATCTCTTACATGACAATATTGTCTTCTCAACATTTCGTAGCATGACATCAGACTGACGAGTCCAGCTGAACCATCCGCCTGTCCAACTAAAAAAAAATACACATCATTACAAACTAAAAACTTTTAATATTTACTGAGCCCTTGACGCATGCAAAATGCAAGACCTTTTAAAGGACGAGTCGCAATAACTAGCCGCAATTGTTTAGGAAAACTGCTACTCGTAAGTAGTAGTTTTCGTAAACAATAGGTATATTTTGATGGTATGTGGTAAATATGACGATTGGAACAAGATACTGCAGATGACACAACAAAAAGTCAAAAGTTTCTCCTACTGTCCGAAGCTAATAATCACTAAACAGGTCATTGCAAATTACATAATCGCCAGTTGGTTCAGTAAATAATAACTAGCATTATCAAAACACACAATTAAAATAATTAAAACAATAATATATGCAAAATAAAACAGTGGTAATTAAAAAATATAAAATTCAAAAGCCATTCGTAACACTAGACTTAGTGACGCCAATTACGAATTATAAGAATTTGTGAACATGCTATGGTGTCTATGTCTAACCATCATCTATACAATCAGGTCTGTCTGTTTGTATACATTGTAAAATTTAAAAGAAAACACCCTACATTACTAACACTTTTTTATTTGAAAGTGGCCATATGATATAGCCCAAATGATCTATCCAAAAATGATGTGCTATTTTTTGATAGTCCATGGGTCTTAACTTGTACCACTTTAAGATGTGACGAGTCTGGTGGTTTAACACTTTAAGACCCTGCCTGCTAACCCAGAGGTCGTGAGGTCGTTGTGGGAGGTTAGATTCCAACCCCAGAAACAAATCTCGAGTAATAAGCATAATAATTTGCTATGATATATTTTTTCATTTAATACAGGCTTAGCTAGTTTTGGATCAGACGCCTGTGTAAAAGATGTGTCAATTTACAAAAAAAGATAAGCAGGTGACTTGGTACTCTCATTCGATGGAGTTCCAACACTACTTAACCGAATTAAATGCCCAGAAAAGAACTACAAAACGGGTAGGTATATCTATTTGATTGAGCTCTTTTACTTTCTAAACATTAAGGGCCGGTCCCCACAGCCATATTTCACCGCTGATTTTTTTCTGCATGAAATGTCGCCGAGGGACGGGCCCTTATTCAATATCATTTTCTAATAATAATGTTTCCTTGACCCCGACTAAATAAATAACGTAATGTTATGTAAAGGTACAAATGTACACTGTCACAATCCATGATTGTCCTTGAGAAAATCTAAGATAGCAGTTCCAATTTAGATGGCACTATAATTTAAATGGTTACCTAGCCAAAAAGAATGACTCATATAATTTCAGTCATGATGACATGGCACTTTATCACTTTGGATAACAGACTTGATAAGTTCCTTCTAAAACTTTCAGAAAAAATGTTAAACATATTTGTGTCATTTGTGTTGTGGGCAGTGTGCTGTATATTTTTGGATCGCTTGTAAATGAAATCCTTGGTTTTGGGATTTACACACACGACTAGGAATTATTCTCAACTACAATGTGGCCACTTTAACAAACAAAATAATTTGTTTATGATTGCCATAAACAATTAGGACTGTTATGAACCTAGGTTAGTGTTCTGAAGTTTGTGTATTTATTTATAGCACTAAGGTGGCAAAAAAGCGATATTGTCTGATGCGGAAAGTTGTTACCGCAGTAACAGACTAAGACTATATAATAGTATAGATATAGAAGATACACTCCTCAAAATGACTTAAATAAATAGCTTTAATAACTCTTGTTCTGACACTAACATACCAGAATCTGATCATCGCGGAAATATTAAGTATGAACAACTATAAAATTTTAAATCTCACTATACCATTTCTCGCCAAAAGATGTATCTAAAATATAAAAGTGGTAGAACTCACGAGTGGTAACCAAAAAAAATTGTAAATTAATTAATCAAATCTCTACTCTTCTACGATAGTTCTTATTAACGAATAGAGTCGCTAGGACTTGTTGGGAGCAAGAACGGCGCTGGTAATGTGGCGATGCAAAGTAAGCAAGCACATGTTTACAATTATCTATATTCTTACGGAACCAATACATAAAAAATTTTACATATATGGTATCCACCCAGGTATACAACCTCTCTTGACTGTCTGTGAAAATAAAAAAAAAAACCGTTTCTTAGAAGTCTTTATAACCACTGATACTGATGTCGGTTACAAAAAATTACAAAAACCAATCATTAGAATGCCTCATCTAATGATACAAAGTCTGAGGAATAGGTTGTAACATATTTAATTATCTAACAAAAAGGTTCTTATGCCATCAATGCGTTTTATGATAAGAGACAAAAGTCTCTAAGTGAAAGCTTAAAGATAAGAATCATGTTCTTACAATCAATAATAAAAAAACATCCTAGTTATTATTATAAACACAAAGGAGTTTCTTTGTTTATTTCCAACTTTTTTAGATTATTGATACTGTGGCTTGACAGAACTGAAGACATTTCGAACATCGACATTTGAAGATGTTTAGCATTTTCAGTTGCTTTTTACCTAGTGAGTGAGGTTATGGGAGCACAAACTCCCCGTCTCCTTGATACTGGGGATAAGAACTAAAAAGGATGGCAACACCCTCGTGACTCCTAGAGTTGCAGTTGTAAAATTCAGTTCCCGAGAGATCATTAAAATAATGTTTATGTTCAGTGAGTCGAATTTTTATATAATTTACTCTCAAATAACTTAAGCAAATTTACTTAACTTTAAACATAAAAAACAAAAGAAGCTTAAAAAAAATAAAAGCTTTGATGTTAACTGGAATGGTATCTTACTTCCACAGTATGGATATCAGAGTTCCAATCCATGTCCTGCTAACTGTACTGAAATTTAAAAATACAGCTATATTTTAATTCAAACAACACAATAGTTTCATAACTGGCATGTTGTCCCATAGTATTTTTTCTTCATGTTCTTTTTAATTTAAAAAATGGCAATGATTTCCCAATAGTAACATAACCGACATAACAATAGTATGATATAAGTTTTATCTTACCATTTTCATAACCAATTTCTGATAAAAAAACCTAGCAGTAATTGTGCCAGTATTATTAGCTTCATGTTATTTTTAATGAGTTTTAGTAATTTAAAGTAAAAAGCTATTCATATGTTTTTTTAAATGGCATTTTATAGGATTCATGATGTAATATTTTTTATGGATTCGGTAATAAGATTTAATATTATTACAACATTCAGTAACAACTAACAAAGAATTCATATTAATTACATGAAACACAATACTTTACATTATTATCTGTTCATAACTATTATTTTGCAAGTCATTATGTTCATAAATAATATTATACAAATCATGATAAATATTAAGTTAGTGGAGTAAATAGGTACTCCTGACCTATTGTACTGTACCACAAGTCTAGGACTAAACTGGCCAGAAACATGCATCCAAACATTTAAATAAAGAACAAACAAGCATCACAAATTAAACACAGAAAGAAACAAATAAGGCTGTATAACTTGCTTGTCAAACACCATTGAGGTTGCAGTTTATTCTCTGAAAGATTATCAATATCAAAATGTAAGTTAAGGGAAACCATAAGTCAGTGAATGAATAAGGTGACATTAAACAGTCATAAATTAAAATGTAAAGCCATAATTTAATTATTCGGTCATATTTTTTAGCTAGCCTATAATTTGTTTTACACCAAGGCTGAAAAGGTAATAAAATGTTATCAAAGAACACTTAATACATATCATTCTTAGTAATTAAATACCTTACTTAACATGCTAAGTGCATTGAAATGTGTTTAAAGAAATAAAATGTTACATGAATATGTGAATATGAATGCAAATTACCTCAAAAAGCCGATAACGAAATGACATATTAACGGCAATAGACATTGGGTCCAAATAAATGAACACGAGATGTAAAATCTTGGCATAACAGACGAGGAACAAATGCACACTGATGGTACCTACAAAATGATTAGCATCTAATAATTAATGGAGGAAACAAAAACGTTCTGTCGAGCGTGATATGTAGAAAATAATATATATAAAGCAATTTATTACGCAATATATGCCGGAAGCAATCAAGTATAACCAAATTATATAGTTTTCGAGGTACCTGGTTTCTGTAGTCTCAAGATTAATTTCACTGCCCATTTGGTCACTGATCTTAATACAATCAACACATATCACGTTCGCGTTTTAAGATATTAAACTGACAAGAATACGTACACAAACGACCACGATAATCTTCTAAATGCGTAAAACAAAATGCCAAGAAATTTTTGACTGACGCACTGACTTGAATAATAATTTGTCAAAGTCAAAATTCTACTGTTGACATTTGACATTGACATTTGTCGTTGCGTTCGAAACGTTGAAATTTTGAGCTTTAAAACATTAAAATTTGAATAATAAATGAGTTTAGGTTTTAGAATGGATTACATTAGTAACGAAGTTTCTCGGTTCTGTTACTAAATATACCCAAATACCACAAAAAGGCATACATAAATTATTTTATAGACAAGAACATTTTTTTTTATTAACATAGTAAAGGCATGCATAAGCTTTTAATTGAAATCTAAAATCCATAGATTATAAAAAAAAAACATAACGTTCCCATAGCAACATTACCATAAGCATACTCCAAGTACAAACATAACAAAAACAAAACAATCTCGTTTGCTTCATAATTATGCAGTTTTCTACAATTCAACCTGTTTTTAAATTAGAACTAAATCATAAAGTTACACCGTCAGTGGTGACAATAGCAAAGTATGATGGTACACACCCATGTTTGACTGCATCGGCGGGATTTGACAAAGTACCTACTTACATGATGGTTGTCTCTAAAAACGAATTGAAAATTAACTTTCGTCTAATATACAATTCCCCTAACAAAATCAAGTCAAATAAAAACACAAGTACAAGTACTTAATTACATACCAAAAGTATGTAGTAGGTACTTATACTAACCGGTATGGTTTATTATAAGGATGAGTAAAATTGTTAGCTGAATGTCCCCGTAAATATTATTTTGTAATAAATTGTTGTAATACAATAGCTTCAGTGATTAGCGTATGTACTGTACTGTTACTGTTACTTTTAAATACAATATCACTATGACTAGATTATTGACGAAGGGGCTGTGTCCTCCTGGAAATTGCCATATTGCCCATGGGCAATATGTGTCGGGTTAACGATTCTGACATATAATATGCAATAATAACATATACTAACAATAATTTGTTCATTTAGATCATAATACATCACCCGCATGGCGGTATCGTCAGCGGCCGGGCACAACAGTCACAAGCACACGGAGAAGTCTCAGAGTTGAACTTGAGTCAGGCTATCATAACACTCGCAGCTGGTCCACTTAAGCCTGACACAGGTCGAGATATGCTACTTATTGGTTCTCCTACGCAAATATTAGGTAAGGATATACCTACCTCTAAAACTCTTATTTCCTTCTGTTAGAGACCTACAACGTTATTCACAGAATTATTACTTATTACATATAGTACTCATCCTGTTTTACCCTTAGTCCAAAAATACTTATTTGTAGCCATAGTAATCATCCTAGTTTCAAAAACCTAATTCCCGATGATTTCGTTCCTGAATTATAACTAACTAGTAGTAACTATATAGTCTTTGCAACACTATAATAACAACACATATATATCATTGTGTAGTTAGTTGTAAATCCTCTCATCTTCATTGCTGAATATACATAAATAATAGGAATCAGTAGGTAATATACCTAGTCTTTTATACTTATTTCATTCTAGCATATGATGTTCACGACAATACAGACCTTTTCTTCAAAGAAGCTCCTGATGGCGTTAATGTAATCATCGCAGGCAACTTTGGAAAGTACACAGAGATGTTGGCTATTGTCGGAGGAAATAGTTCAGTACAAGCCATTAACTGGGAAGGGAATGAGGTCTTCTGGAATGTTGTTAGCGGGAAAGTTAGCTCTATGATCACGTTTGATTTTGACAAAGATGGTGAGAATGAGGTAGGTACTTAAAACTGTTGAACTGGCTGGTAAAAATGTAAAATTGTGTTCTGTATGTAGACCAACGAACAGGCAGGTCATCTGATAATTATTGACTACCGCTGCCCATGAACAACCGCAACACAAGATTACTATAAGAGTCAAGAGTATGTATAATTAATTATAGTACTTAGGTATAATTTATTCCTTAGGTTGGTTGTACGGGGTCAAAAATTTCTTAAATAACGCACGGTGGTGGAGTGTCAATTAATTGTTATTATTTTCCTCCAGCTACTCATTGGTTGTGACGATTCATTCATAAGGGTGTTAAAGAATAACCAGTTTATAACGGAGATATCGGAGACGGGTCCAATATTATGTCTGTCTCCCATAAATGAAGTCAGATTCGCCTATGGCTTAGCGAACGGGACTATTGGAATCTATGAAGAGGGAATACGACTTTGGCGAGTCAAGGTAACCCACTAGAATCCAGATCATGTAAATTATGAATTGAAAGTTATTTACCTAACCAGGTCAATTTCACTAAGTTGTGTAGAAACAAAAATAAGTCCACCCCAGACGATTTGATACACAATTAAGAAATGCGCGTTAAGTATTGTAAAATACCTTTATTTCATCACAATATTTTTTTAAAATTGCATGAAATCGTCTTTTGAATTAGCTTTACAGGACTGTTTCACAGGACAGGTATTTAGGTAGTCAATTTATATAGAAATCTTCTTCTGCACCTTTAAATATTTGTAGTCGAAACAAAATGTATTGGCTCTCCAATGGTCTGGGGAGACTCTGGCATGTTGCTGGTCTAACGGTCGTGTAGACTGGCGCGAAGGTACCACTGGACGGGTACTCCGACGTATTCAAATGCGTGCCAATGCAGCTGCCATGTTGCTGGCTGACTACCGCTGTGTTGGTGCTCCAGACTTGGTCTGTGTTTCTGATCGCGGCGAGGGTAAGTGCTTAGAGGTATACACTATAGACATGCAAATTTTTTTTATGACACAAATAGCAAATGAACACATGCGTTACCTGATGGTAAGTGACTAGCACCGCCCATATACACAAGTGCGTCGTCACCCTCGGGGCGTAGGATAACATTAAATAATAACCTATATCTGTCGCGAAGAACAAGGCTGGAGGTGAAAATTCTGATATGAAAGCTCTCCTACCAACTTCTTCGACGTATTTGAAATCTAGATCGCGCGAATACTGCAGATAGGCAGCCAGCTGGTGAATTCCAGGATCACAACTTTTGCATGAGGCTGTAACTTTTCTGTTCTGTTTACTTTTCTCACGTGGAAACTAAGAGCATGTGCTGCAAGGTATTTAATGTGATCGAGTGGTTAGTGATTTATATAAATTTACCAGACACTGTGTATAAAGTGTCTTAAGTTAGTTATAGTTATGCGTATTAGTATGATATGCCCGTCACATTGATTATGTATTGCAAATCTGCAGTGTCTAAATTGTTACGACTAATATTAATGTACACAAAAGATACACTCACTAAACGTTTTAACATCAGTCTTAGGATATCCCCCTTATCAAGAGAAAACAGGCTTCAACGCTATCTCAAAAAACGTTTCATCTGGAGAAGAGCACATGGCTATCACAGAATTATTTAACAAGAAACAAGCACTACTGGTAGAACTGCAGCATTACGAAGCTAATGCTGCAAGCGGCAGTGTTAGTTTGGAGTCTTTGGAAAAGCCATTAAGTGCAATGCCTACTAATACTCGCCTGCAAGTGGCATTAGTCCATGCTCTTGATGAGGTAAGTGAAATGGGTAAAATAAATTCCTCAAATGGTTAAAAATTAAAGTTCATGTAAAAATAGGTACATGTATTTGACTGCACGGATGGCGTAGTGGTTTAAGCGGTCGCCACGCCGCTTACTACTACGCTAAGTGCTGTGGGTCCGATCCACACATGGGACTACACTTTGTGTGATAAACAAATTGTTGTTCTGAGTCTGGGTATTCTTTGTGTCCGTTTCATGTATGTTTGTGAAGTCAGGACATACTCGCGACATAGGATATACTTATTCCGAATGCGAGAGCTGTCTTTTCATAAATAAAAATTCATTAATTCTGACTTTTCCAGGGTTGCATTCAGTTGGCAATATCTACTAATAACGACACCATAGTGCGAGTTGCTCTTGTATTGGCCGAGGGTATATTTGAGACTGGTGAGACATTCGCCCGTCATCCAGCACCGTCACACCTACGGCCTTTATTGCATGTGCCACTCAGGCCACCAAGAGATGTGCCCGTCGATATTCACATCAAGGTATGCAAAAACTCCCTGGTATTTTCCATTGGAATATAGTTACAGTTATAAGAATTATATTTATTATTCGCGTCGAGTCCTGAAATACAGGTATTGACCTAGTTTAGGCTCAAGCCCACCCCAAACTACAACTTTTATCTTTGCACTAATTTCTATAAATCATTTTTATACAATATGTTGTTTGTGGTGGAAATAAATATTTATTTTTAATTATCTATACCTGTTCAGTAGGTAATCACAAAACATGATTAAGAACAAACTAGGAATATTTTAGCACCCTACCTGCTTAAAGCAAGATTTGCCAAATATAACTGTGTTTTAAATGGCGATTACTGAATAAAGTGCTGACACAACCAATCGTCCAGTTGATAGAATACACACGTCTTCTCTTATATTTCTATCCTTTGGGTATTTTCCAAATTTTCCTTCAGGTCATCGATAGTTTGTTTTATACGAATATAAAAACAAACAGACAGACGGAACGGTCTAAACTAAACTATGTTTGATTACAGGCCCTCGTTGGATATCCGGACAGTGAACAATTTCATATTTTCGAGCTAACGAAACAGCTTCCAAGGTTTTCTATGTACCAATTAGCACCTAATACATTGGCAAACCAAGGAAATCATTACGTCACATTTCGAATCACAGAAAGGGTGCAGAGAATTTGTATTTGGTTAAATCAAAATTTTCTGCTAGATGAGGAGTTCGAACTAGAGACAGAGGAAACTAAAGACCTCCATGCTCATTTCATTTGTCTGAGGGACCAGTCACATTTATATTTGGACTTTTGGGCCGATGGAAGTGTGAAGTTCAGTACACATGATATCAGGTTGGCAGGCGACTTAATACAGAGTCTAGCTGTTTATTTGAATCTGACCGATTTGCAGGTGAGTTAATAGCTAATAGTGAGTGGTGAGTTAATAGTGCCAGATAAGATGGCAATACACAGCATTAACCCTACTTTCATCCCGATATTTAATAAGGTCACGTGACAAATCGAACTATCATCATCATCTAAAAAAACTATCCCTAACTAATAACGTTTGAATTTCATAATACACAGGAACAAAGAGATGTGTCAAAAAATTAAATATAATAAGGACTTTCAAATATTACATTTACAAGTCGTAAGCGTTTATCTAATGATTTTTCTTATTTTTACGAATTATAAATGTATTATTTTAATGGAAAAAAATTCAAATAACAATATTTTTAACATACCTTACAATTAAACTTTTTTTTAATACTGTCAACTTGTGAAATATCGTCAATATTAAACTATGTATGAGTGACACAGTTTTTTGTTAGCGGACTGTCCGACTTTTTTATAGTGCATAGGATAATAAAAAATATTTAAATTTAGAGACTTAGACACAGCACTATAGGTAAACTGCCTAATTGAGTAGTACTCGCCTGCGGACGTTCTAAGAAAAGAAGAATGCGCCTGCCGCTCACACTTCTCCCGGTCCACGTTCTACCTCCGCGTCCCTGTACCATGCGGGCGAGGGCTTATTAAGCGGTTTATCTATAGATCTATAGTCACTTTTGAGACGTTATATAGAGTCGGAAAATGGCAATGGAGAGGTTTATATTTTTCCGTAGATGTCTTAAGGATTCATTCATCATCATCATCAGCCTATCGCAGTCCACTGCTGGACACAGGCCTCTCCCATTGCACGCCACTTAGATCGATTTTGGACTTCTCGCATCAAGCTTCTACCAGCCACCTTGCGCAAATCGTCACTCCACCTGGCCTGTGGGCGTCCTACACTACGTTTGCCGAGATGCGGTCTCCACTGCCAGCCAGGCCGCCCACTGCCACTTCAGCTTACTTAGCCGGTAGGCTATGTCGGTGACCCTGGTTCTCTGCCGGATCACCTCATTCCTGATGCGATCCCTTAGAGAAACGCTGAGCATAGCCCATTCCATACCTCGTTGAGCGACTTTTAAGGATTCATTATTTATTGGAAGTAACAAAGAATGACCGACGAAAGTTTTTAATTTTTATATTTTACTTTATTGATTGATATAATAAATTATAAATTGCCGTGTGGGCACCACACGGCAATTTATAATTTACACAATTATTTGTCCTTATCACACAATTATTTGTCCTGAGTGGGAATCGAAATCACGATCTTTGCCGTAACAGTCAGGGTTACTAACCGCTAAACAAACTGGCCAGCCAGTTCATATGTATGTCTTACCCTTAGTAAGGATGTGTGTAAGATTTGTCAAGTTATTATTATTATTCTCTTTATTAAATTATATATTTAAATTAATTACATTTTTAAACCGTACCTACCGTGTGGTGCCGGCATAGAATAGTACCACCCCATTTCTTCCCGTGGGTGTCGTAAGAGCCGACTAAGGGATAAAGCCAGGGAACGGGCAGCAGCGTTTTAGTATACCAAATGGCACACACTGCGCTCGCCAACCCGTCTACCAAGCGTGGCGAGTACGGCAAAACCTCTAAAATGATAATTAGACAGCACAGGACCAGGCCCCAGTATCCGGCAGCCCCGCCAATCCTGGCTATGGTAGCGGCCATGGCAGCGGCGGGGCAGGGGGTGCGAAGAATTTCCGGATGGGATCCGGCTACCACCCCCAATGACAACTGGCCCTGGTAACACACAACATACGCACTTTGAGGATATACGAGAAGATAGTAGAGCTGGAAGAAGAGTTGAGCAAAATGCGCTGGGATATAGTGGGTTTAGCAGAAATCCGAAGGGAGGGTGGACACGATTACCCTGAATTCCGGCAATTTGCTCTACTACCGGGAGGGCGAACAACAGTCCCAATGTGGTGTCGGGTTTATCGTCCACAAGTCTCTTATTAGCAACGTGATGTCCGTCAATAGTGTGTCGAGCAGGGTAGCGTACCTTATACTCAGAATATCTAAGAGATATTTGTTGAAGGTCATACAGGTTTACGCACCGACCTCGACACACCCAGATGACAAGTGGAAGCTATGTATGAGGACATCGGTCGGGCCATACATAGCACTATTACACACTACACCGTTGTTATGGGAGACTTCAATGCAAAGCCGGGCCGAAGAAGCGATGATGAGTTGAGAGTGGGGCAATTTGGTTATGGGCAACGGAATCTCAGGGGACACAGGCTGGCCGATTTCCTGGAAAAAGAGGGACTCTTTATGATGAACTCTTATTTCCAGAAGCCGCCTCACAGGAAATGGACTTGGATGAGTCCCGATGGTTCCACAAAAAATGAGATTGACTTAATTATGACCAACAAAAGCCGTATATTCAATGATGTATCCGTGATTCACAGGATGAAAACCGGAAGTGATCACCGAATGGTTAGAGGCACACTGAATATAGACGTTCATTTGGAACGCGCCCGTCTAATGAAGTGCACGCTCCGACCTTAGATTGCTAAGATCCAAAACGCCGAAAGCTATCAACTTGATTTGCAAAATCGCTTCGAATGCCTAGATAGCTGCACATCAGTGGACGAAATCAACAGCAGGCTGGTAGAAAGTATCCATGAGGTTGGGTCTAAGTTCTTCAGACCCCACCGAAAAGATAGACCTCAGAAACTATCCGACCATACCCGGGACCTCATGGCCGAGCGACGTTCTATGACTCTCCAAACCTCCGATGACGCTAAGTCCTATCGGCAGCTCAATAGACAGATATGGAATTCTCTGCGACACGATCTCCGGTCCTTTAATACTAACAGTATTAAGGAGACGATAGAGCGAAACAAAGGCTTGAAAGTGTTCGCAAGAGAGGCGTCTATTGGGAAAAGCCGGTTGACGAAGCTGAAGACAGAAGACGGGAGTGTAACGTCGAGTTGGCAAGAGGTACTTACGGAAATAGAGAGGTTCTATCGACACTTGTATACCTCGACCACAAAGCCTGCTAGTAGCCCAGCTAAATACCCTAGAGCAAGGCTAACCCGACGTTATACCGAAGATATCCCGGACATCAGCCAGTACGAGATTGGGATGGCTCTGAAACAGCTTAAGAATAACAAGGCACCGGGCGATAACGGAATCACATCTGAGCTTCTGAGAGTGGCAAACCGGTACTCAAGGTCCTCCAGAAGCTCTTCAATTCCGTCTTGCTCGAGGGACACACGCCAGAGTCATGGAACAGGAGTGTGGTGGTACTTTTCTTCAAGAAGGGCGATAATACCTTATTGAAGAACTACAGGCCCATCACACTGCTAAGCCATGTCTACAAGCTGTTTTCAACAGTCATCACGAATCGTCTCGAACGTCGGTTTAGCCTCCCTCCCGAACATGCCGGTTTCCGAAAAGGCTTTAGCACCATAGACCACATACATACGCTGCGGCAGATTATACAGAAGACCGAGGAGTATAATCGGCCACTATGCTTGGCGTTTGTGGACTATGAGAAAGCCTTCGATTCGATCGAAACTTGGGCAGTCTTTAGGTCTCTCCAGCGGAGCCGTATTGACTATCGGTACATCGAGTCATGTTTCATCAGTTATTATATCTGGACAATCTAACATATGAATACGCCTATGTCCTTGATTCAAATCGTAACTTAATTTATAATAATAGTATGTTTAGAAAATCAGGCGCTTTAAGTAATAATGGTATGAAAATAGTATTTAAGGATCTCCACAAATTAACTTTAGATATTAAACATAACTTGGCAGTCTGTAAAACCCCACAAAAAGAACAGATTGAAATTAATACAGTACCGTCACAGCTTTTTCGGACATAAGTATTTAAATATAATGCATCAGAATGTTGCGGGCTTAAGAAGTAAATCTGATGAGCTCTTTGTATGTATGCAAGAGTTATCTGATAAAGGTATTAATATAGATATAATTTGTGTGACAGAGCACAATATCATGTCGGGACATGAGGATCTCTGCGTAATTCCTAATTTCAACTTGTCAGCACATTATAGCAGAAGTAATCTCAGCAGAGGTGGATCATGTATCCTGGTTAAAGTAGGTCATCTTTTTAAATCAATTCCTGAAATTGCAACATTCTCTGTATCAAGTAGTTTTGAATGTTGTGCGATCGAATTGCTCACCTATAATATTATTGTTGTGTGTATATATAGAACCCCATATAACAGCAACCTGAGTATATTCTTTGATAGGCTAGATAAGGTATTAATGTACATTAACAAGACTTACAAAAAACATAATATCATAGTAGCAGGTGATTTTAACATAAATATTCTAAAGCAAAACAGTATGACATCGGAATTCGAATGTTTACTCCTTAATTATAACTTAGAACTAGTGCTGAGGAAACCTACTAGGATTATTAGTCAGACGTGTATAGATAATTTTGCTCATAATTTCCCCCATAACTGCAAATCAAGTATCATAGAGAACGGATTGTCAGATCACACAGCGCAAATACTGCAATGTCGTGTTAAAAAAATCTGCCTATTTAAACGTTGGAGAGTTCGACGAAGAGACTATTGTTTGGAAAACCAGATGAAATTTAAAGAGTGTATAAGCAAATTGACTTTTTCTGAGGTGTACACTACTGAAGACCCTAATTTAGCTTACGATACCTTCTATGATTTATTTAAACTATTTTACGATCTTTGTTTCCCATCAAGACTTATAACTATAAATGCACATAAAAAACAAAAATGGGTTTCGCGTGGAATAAAGATATGTAGTAAAAAAAAAAGGACCCTTTTATGGAAATATAGGAAAAATCCCAGTGATGCTAACAAAAATAAATTTAAACAATACTCAAAAATTTATAAAAAAATTATCAAATTAACCCAGAGAGCACAAAACACTTACTCTATTAATATAGCAGATAACAAAGCCAAAACTGCTTGGAAAATTATACATAACACAAAACAAAACGTTCCAAATGAATCAATAGCCCGTATAAAATTTAATAATCAAACCCTAACTGATCCTAATGCAATATGTAGTGCTTTTAATAATTATTTTGTAGATAGAATAGTCCCGAATAATCCTAAAAATAAATTGCTTTATTCCAAGTATGTGTCCTCTAGGCAGAAATCGATGTTCTTGAAAGCTTGCTCACCCTTTAATATATTGCATATTATAAGAAACCTAAAGAACACTAACAGTGTAGGGTATGATGGAATATGTACTAGAGTCATAAAATCTGTGGCAGGTAATATTTGTCATCATATTTGTCATATTATAAATGTATGTATAGCAGCTGGAGCTTTCCCTGACAAACTGAAAGCAGTGATCATAAAACCTGTATTTAAAAAAGGAAATAGAGACAATATAGAAAACTATAGACCTATAGCCCTGGTACCTATTTTCTCTAAGGTATTTGAGAAATATATATATGGGGAACTAAATGATTACCTTGAAGGGAATTGTATTCTCGCGAAAGAACAGAAGGGTTTCAGAGGTAATAAATCAATAAACATGGCCCTATATGATTTTCTTGTATTTGTAATGAAGAATGTTGACAATAAGATACCTGTTTGCTCCATATATATGGATATGACCCAAGCATTTGATCATGTAAGTCATGATACTCTACTAAGTAAGCTAAATTCATATGGCATAAGGGGCAATATCTTAGACCTGATTGAGTCTTACATTAGAAATCGCACTCAATATACTCAAATTTCTAAAATTAATAGTGTTACCAAAATAGAAGAATACTATCATTCTGAAACACGTAAAATACAATATGGCGTACCTCAGGGTAGTGTATTAGGACCATTATTGTTCCTAATATACATTAATGACCTACCTAATGTAACCCATAACCCAATAGCCCTATTTGCAGATGATAGTACAATTACTATTAAATGTAATAATAAGGATACATATAATGATGATATAAATAACGCTTTAAACTCTGTTCTCGACTGGCTAGATGTAAACAATTTAAGAGCTAACATAGGAAAAACAATGCTCATGCATTTTAGTCAGCGTATTCCTAGTATTAAAAACCTACAGATATGCGCTAACGGCCAATCTTTAAATGAAGTAGATTCCACAAAATTTCTAGGTGTAATAATAGACAATAAGTTAACATGGAAACAACAGGTAGAACAAATATGCAAGAGGGTCAGTAAATCAGTGTATGCACTTCATGAATTGTCACAAGTAATTAATACTCATGCACTTCTGACTGCATACCATGGTATGGTGGCGTCAGTTCTTAGGTTTGGTATAATTTTCTGGGGTAACTCTGTACATAAAGATAAAGTATTCAAGGTACAGAAACGTTGTGTGAGGGCAATGTTCTCTCTAAAATCAACCGACAGCTGTCTGCCCTATTATAAAAAATATAATATTTTGACACTACCATCCATTTATATACTCGAGGTAACTATGTTTGCCAAACTAAATCCTAATTTATTTGTTTTGTCTTCTGATGCGTACGGCCGAATGCAAAGAGATAAATCCCGGCTATGCCTGTGTAAATCAAACACTGCTCTAATGCATAACAGTGTTTTCGCCATGGCTCCAAAAATATATAATAAATTGCCTAGGAATATAAAGGAGTCAAATCCGACTATCTTTAAACAGACATTAAAAAAAATTCTGAGCCAAAAATGCTATTATAATGTAAATGATTTTCTGCAAGACAAATTGTAAATCAAATTAATTTCGTTCATTGTTATTTAATTTATGTTGAACATGACAATGTGACATTTTTTTTTTATTTTTATTATTTTGACTATTTGATTATTATTGTTGTTTTTTTTTTTTATTATTATTTTTTGGTTTTATTATATTGATCTGACTTAATAGCATTCATAACACTCTTGACATTATTAATTCTCTGAATAAATTTATGACATGAATATATTCTTCAAATTGTGTTTGTAATGTTGAGCGTCTAAATAATAATCTTTTAAATATCTATGACTAAATATTTGCACACCTTTAAGAGGTTATATTACAGCGTACCTATGTATTATATGATGTTCTTCTACCACCTTTATACCTGTTTTATGCAAATAATAAATGATTTTGATTTTGATTTTGATTTTGATCGAGGTATTGAAGTGTTTGTATAATAACGCCAACATGTCAGTTCGAGTACAGGACCAATACACGAAGGCAATTCCATTACAGAGAGGAATCGATAAGACAGAGAGACGTTATTTCTCCGAAACTGTTCACCGCTGCTCTGGAAGATGCCTTCAAGCTCCTGGAATGGAAAGAACTTGGCATCAACATCAATGGCGAATACATTACTCACCTTGGATTTGCCGACGACGATTCATGGCAGAATCGCTGGCAGACTTGGGACAAATGCTCGCTGACCTCGACGGAATTTCTCAACAGATCGGCCTTAAAATGAACATGGACAAGACGAAAATCATGTCGAATGTCCATGTCGCGCTGACTCCCATAGTCGTGGGAAACTCTGTCCTCGAAGTTGTTGACGAATATGTCTACCTAGGACAAACGGTCCAATTACCTAATTGAGCCAAGAGTCCAACTTCGAGAAAGAGGTCAATCGTCGAATCCGCTGGGCAGCGTTCGGGAAATTACGAAACGTCTTCACGTCCAAAATACCTCAGTGCCTAAAGACGAAAGGCTTCAACCAGTGTTTGTCACCAGTGATGACCTACGGAACTGAGACGTGGTCTCTTACTATGGGCCTAATCAGAAATCTCAGAGTCGCTCAGCGTGCTATGGAAAGGGCTATGCTTGGCGTTTCCCTGCGTGATCGAATCCGCAACGAGGAGTTTTTTTTTTTTTTTTTTACACACGGCCGTCTGATCCCAAACTAGGCAGAGCCTGTACTATGGTAACCAGACCGCTGATAAACACACTTATATATTTCTAAATACATACATATTATAGATAAATTACATTCAGACACAGAACAAATGACCATGCTCATCACACAATATTTGTCCTGGGTGGGAACCGAACCCACGACTCTTCTAATCCTTCTAATCTTTTTATCATTCCTTTAAATCAATTATTTAAATATACCTGCTACTAAAAGGTTAACATTAATTACATATCTTATGGAAAATATATCAATAAGTATATATTTTCCATAAGATATGTAATAATATATCAATAAAATAACAAGAAATGTATTTAAATATTATATTACTGAACTTAGATGGATATTGCTTATACTAAAAATTTACAGATCAAAATTCACTGGCCATAAAGTTCAACGAACCCAACACATTTCAGTGGATTGAAAAAGAACATGTTATTATGTGGAGGTTCTCTTTGACTCACAGCTTTCACAACTTCCTGCCCAATCACTCCTCCAATAACTGCAGCAGCACCAGACACAGTACCAAACACATCTTGAAGTAGTGCATCAACTATGAAGTTGGCCGGCAGTGACAACTCTTTAACAATCTCATCTCTCATTCGCAGTAGTATTGCTGTATCTTCTTTCCTCTTAGATGGATCCGGATTTCTATTATATTCATCTTTAAATCTCAGTAGAATCTTCATTACAAAGTAGGAGGGGTCACCGCGGCGTAATCTAGACCGCATTTCAGGATTCATCCAATCTACAGATAAAGCATTTTGGAGTGGAACATAAATAGCCCTGCGCTTAACAGTAATACTGACTGTTTCTCTAGCAGTCTTCTCAGTATCATCTGGACCACGTTTCAAAGCTTTGTGTTGGACAATCTCTTCAGAGTACTCGTGATCAACGAGGTCAGCAAACATATAGCCGTACATGCCCCATACATCACCACATAAAAACTTTTTGTTGCTATCACGACAAGCATTGTTAATACGCTCAAGTTGCTCCTGTTTTAAACCTGTCGCACATACCACATCGAATTGAGTGAAATAACTATCAGTTAGATTGTCTACAGACTTAGTTTCTGTTGTAATTTCAACCATAGGGTTCAACGCCTTAGCTCTCTGTACCGACGCTTCCGCTCTGTTCTCACCGATTTTGTCCGGTGGTGATAAAAACTGGGAATACAGGTCTATTTCTTTGAGCTTTTCATTATCTAGTAAACAAACACTTTTTACGCCGGATAAAATAACATTCTTTGCAATCTCAGCGCCAAGACCGTTCATTCCAATGATAAGTACTTTGGCTGCACGTAACCTCTTTTGCGATTCCAAGCCCCATAGACGTATTTGACGATCGTACTGTTCCGCCTCAGCTTCTGACAATTCCATTTCATTGTTTTCAACCATTTTTAGTAAATATTTCCTATTGGAATTAGAATTGTTTTAGAAATCGGTTAACAACTTCACAAATTGACAGCTTTGACTAATGACTACCCCACGCCGGCTAATGACGCACAGCCATGTTTTTTTAGAGGTGTGCTTTTTCGTAGTAGACTGTAGTCGAGTCACTCGACTACTACGTCTTAGGTAACTTTCTCGACGTAAGTGAGGTGTTCGTTAGTTTCGTTAACGACAAATTACTGTAATCTAAAAGTAATGTGTAAAGGCACAGAATACTGCCGTCTTCAAGTGTGTGTACACTGATTTGCTCAGATGCAGCATATCGATTTTTGTTTTCAAAATCACAAATAATAAATTTTAATTCTTTTTATATTACAGTCGATAGCACAGTTTTCTGTGGCAGAAAATAAACTTCGGGAGGAAATGGAACATGTATCACAAGTAGGTGAAATGCGATCGCGTCTAGCAGCAGAAACAGCTGAACGAGCTCAACTGATTACAGCATTACTACCAGCAGCACAGGACGCAGCAGTCTATGATTTGTATGTTACTAGTACAGTTAACGTTATAAATATAAAAAAATATATAGATACATCCAATTTATAATAAAATATTTATAGAAAATAATATTTTTAGGAAGGAGATGCTAAATCGATATAAAGAAGTGGTGATGTTAAATGAAGAACTTCTTACTGGGTGTTTTATAAGACGTGCTACTCAAGAGCAGGCAGTCACATCATTGAAAAGTTTGCATACTATTTTGCAGCAGGCGGCCAGGCTTAGAGGTATTGCCAATCTATATAGCATATGCATTTACGTTTATACCTATATTAGACAAGACTTCACATGTAGTGTACTGCTTAAATGAAATAACCATCTTAATAAAGCTACACAATATCGTAACGGTAAGTCATGTAACTTAGACAGGAAATATCTGGATAATGAAGCCTAATTACCTGGAGTATTAGCGCTTATTTGCTTTTCATTAAATGTTCTTTAGGATATTATTTCATAAAATATCAATGTATATGCTTCCTATAGTCAAATTATTTTAAAAGAGGCATTTACAATTGAAACAGCGTTAATTGTTTTAAAATAGTTGTACTTCTGTCTGTACATTTAGTCTTTTCTTTCAAGACTCCACAAATATAACTAAGAATGCAAACTAAAATGTATTTTAAGAATTGTCGAAAATTAATTAATGAGGATGAACAAATTCACACAGCGTCACACGGACTTACCTAAGACCTCGCTAATTTATTTTATTTGCCATAAACAGTCGAAATTAAAAAATAAATATTTCATTATTTGTTCAGTTTCGCTTAATTATATGAAAAGTTTAAAATCAAAGTGAAAAGAACGAATGGATGTTTATTTAAATATACCAAAGATGAGGATCGTCCCTTGCTAATTTACGATTTGCTATGTGAATCGACTAATCTTAATCACCATAACGATTTAATCGTAACAATACCAAAATTAAAAATGATAGACAAAATCAGAAAAAAAAAAATTGTACGTCGTCTCACAGAAATAAAGATTCATTCATAGTTTACATTACTTTTAGCTAAAATATGTCGCATTACATTTATTCAACTGAGTACTATAACTTCTTACTAATTCAAAAATCGGTAACTTAAATTCTTTTAAGATTCGTTTAAATCGCGCAACAGTCACTTTCTCTAGTCACAGAACATCAATTTCATCTGTCAAAATGCACTTCTTAAATTGTTTCTGATAACGGAATATAAAGGTGTCTTTGTTTTACATTATTATGACAAAAAATGTTTTTTCATCATGTATAGGGTGGGAATAGAAGAATAGATATTCGAACATCTGAAAATATATCTTCTATGTTTTTTTTCAGTTGGAAAATACAGTAAAGCAGTTGTGGCGGCAAGTAGGAAAGCAGTTCAAAACAACAACATAGAGGCACTTTTTAAAATTATCCAAGTCGGTGATTCGTAAATAAAATGTTAAACAAAATAGAGTTCAATAAATGAATTTATTAACACTTAAACCTTAATATATCTAAGTTCTCCGTTTTCCGAAAGAATCTTTAACGGCCTTTACAAACTGACCCCATCAGGTTCGTTGATTTAGTGGCCACTTTGTAATTTATTGCCACCGCCGCATTTGCCTCCTCATGTATGGAGACCGGTGTTTGGCCGCAATCTCCTCCTCCGCTGCGCTTCCGGTTCCGCTGTACTAAGTCTGTATTGTGAGCTTCCGGCTTACAGAAGACAGAGCCCAATACGGCTACTAGCCACTTTGAGGGGCAGCATCTCCTGGGACGTGTCGTCATCTTCGTCCATAAAGCGGATCTCTACTTCCATTAGCTTCAGTGTGTAAGTCGTCGTAGTTGAGTTACTACCGTCCGACGAAATCACAGATCTCGAACGCAGACTGACTACTGGGAGCCATGCCGGCTCTCGCGAGCGACAGTTCCTCCTCGTTAGACGAGACGAGCCCTTCACTCTACTCCTTCTTTCTGGTTTCGTTATTAAAATTAAGCTTTTTGAACTCTATAATTGATCCCACGAGTGTAGGAGAAATAAAGGTCAGTTGGGCCAGCGTGAATTTTTGCCCAAACCAGGGGTCCGCCGGTGCCTCTGCTGAGATTGCGTTTGTGACCCTGGCCACGCACCAGACCACGGGATTCCAGGTAATTTTATTTTATAGAGCTTTCCTTCCTCGCCCCCGGGGGCTCCCTCGTAATTTGTTATAATAATAAAGCCCTTTTCTTCCGAATTCGCTACAGCTTTGACAATACATATTTCCGAGTTCTATTTGTTATTTTATGTCTCGCAATTCGGTGCGCCTCTTGGCATAGGCCTCCTCCAGCTCTCTCCACTGAGCTCTATCCTCTGCTACTCTAGTCCAATAAGGTCCCAAGGTTAGGCGGATATCGTCTTTCCATCTAGTTTTCGGACGTCCTTTTCTTCTACAGTCCTCTCTTGGGTACCATAAGGTGACTTGTTTGCTCCATTTATTTATTTTGGAACGTAGCATATGTCTTGTCCAACCCCATTTTAAATGATCTATGCAAGTTATTATATCTGCAACTTTAGTTTTTCTTCTTATTTCAGAATTTCTAATTTTATCACTAAGTAATTTGTTCCGCCGTTTAAATAACGAGCTTTCAAGAGATGGCGCGCCACCAGAAAGACTTTTCTGGAACTAGAAATTCGAACTCAGCCGGCCCAGATGAACAATCTGGGCCTGATCCTGGACGGGAGGTGGCTCTTTGATGAGCACTTTGGGTGGACTCAGGATCGCGACAAGACGGCTGTACACGGGAGATGCACTGTACGTTTCACTGGTGAAGGCGGTGGCTATGACGGCTGAGTTCTGGGCGGGTGGAGGCAGTGAGACCCTGCCCGAAGAGGTATACGAGTGGCGTTAGGCCGCTCGCCGAGCATGTCTCCTTAGTCGTCCCGGCTGGAGGCTCGACGAGCTGGGTTTGCTGCCGTGGAGACGCTCCAGTCTCTACGGTTATGCTCGACATTCCACAGATGGATAGCATTATGAGGATGTCCTTCCCCGCACTGTTGTCATGTAGCGACGCGATGACCATGTCGTAACAGAAGTCAGAACGGATACCTAGTGCACCGGATAGTTGGGGTCTGTGGTCATTTGAGGTGAGGTCACTGAGACTTCAATCCGCTGCGGGTACTTTGGGCTAGAGGTACGTGATTCGAGGATCGTAGAACCACATATATACAGTAATCCATTCGGACCTGTATGTATAACGAGGGTCTGGGTATAAACGCCCCAACCCGATGTTAGTACTTCGTACCCATCAGGAGCTTCTTTATGCGATATTACTTAATTAAGACCGGTTGATAGTCCTCAGCACTCACCGAAAGCCCGTGCAAGGTTGTCGAGATAAATAGGCTGGCGACCAACAACCATTTATCACACACAAAAAAAACAACTATAACGGAAAGGAACTTTGATTATAAAACCCTTTTTAAAAAAAAAGTTGAACCGACTTCAAAAAACACCGACAAAGAGCACTAAAAATTAAAAAATAATTACAAATCTGAGTAAAAAAACTATAATAAGTACCCTCAATGTCACAGGTAACATTATAATACCAATAGTCCCTTCTAGTCTGTTTGAAGTCGGTGCCAAGCCAAATAGGTGCTTGATAGGCATGGTAGAATGTAGCGCGGCAGCTGCAACAGTCTTCATGCTGCGCAAAACATGATGAACGAGCTAAAGTGGACGCACATCTCCAATTATATTATTATTTTGAATTCTTTAATAAGTAGTTGATAAGTTTGCGCACGTAATTGATCTGGTTGGTCTTTATTAATTAACAAAATCTTCGATGTTTCATTAGAATTATTTTGAATTCTTAATTTTTCATTGTGCTAATGTAAAGCTGACATAGACCAGTATTACTTATTGTGCATCGAGCTTGGCACCGACTTCAAACAGACTAGAAGGGACTATTGGTATTATAATGTTACCTGTGACATTGAGGCTACTTATTATAGTTTTTTTACTAGGATATGAAAATGACATTGGCGTCCAAACTGATCAAGATCAGCTTAAATTCTTTTCTAAGAAACAGTCAAATTCTTGTGAGTTGCAACCGAACAAAATAACTTCCGATTCAATTGACACTGATCTCGAAGGTGAAGATAGGGAAGCTTTAGTGAGACTACTCAACAAATATGCTCAATATTTTATAGAAGGAGTTCCAACTAGAAGGGTTAATACTAGTATGTTAGAAATAACCTAGTTGACCCACCCAAAATTTAAGAGTTTTTTCCAGAACTATTTTAATAAATTAAGTATAAAATTACTTACAAACGAAATGCGATGCCATCCATAGCAACAAAACGTCTATCCGAATTATTTTAACAAGATAGAATACAAAATTTCAACCTTTTCTTCTTAATACAACGAAAATTACTGTGGTGACATAAATACTGCAAGTTCTCTGCGCATCACATCGCGCAGTCTCTGACAGTTGCAATGGTTTGTTTGGCTAAAGAAATACTCGTAGCTAAAACACGTTGTCGGGGCTGTCAAATTCCCAATAATTGTGAGGGTTTCACTCGATTTCTCTAGGATCCCATTATCAGATCCTGAATTGGTGGTAATGGGACCAATTCGGGATATACCCTTTCGATTACAAAAAGAATTTTGAAAATCGGTCCACAATTGACGAAGAAATCGCGTAACAAACATACATAAAAAAAAAATACAGACGAATTGAGAACCTCCTCTTTTGTGTTTTGGAAGTCGGTTAAAAAGAAAACATACTGTCGAATCAAAAACCCTCCTTTTTTGATGTTGGTTAAAAATCGACTAGCATGAAGCTCCTAGTCGAGACGAATCAAATGAGCACAAACACGGCGGAATTGCTTTATTTTATTACAGAGTTCCCATGGCTATTTACCGTCTCCATCATCAGACCCTGAATATCACATAGGATCGGAGTCCTTATTAATTAGACTCAAACACATTCAAATTCGATGGTATTACATAATTTTGTTACAGAGATCCCATACTCCTAAACCATTCATCATCAGCTTCATCATCAGCTCAGCAACATCAGATGGTGACCATTAGATGCAAAAATCTACATAGATTAAGATAATTTCTGATAAACAGTGTATATGCCTACAAAATTTGAGGGTATCCCTCGATTTCCCCAGGATCCCATCATCAGATCCTGACCTGGTGACAATGGGACCACCTCTGACGTATGACCTACCAAATAAAAAAAGAATTATTCAAATCGGTTTATAATTGCCGGAGTAATCGCGTAACAAATATACAAAAAAAAAAAAAAAATACAGTCGAATTGAGAACCTCCTCCTTTTTTTGAAGTCGGTTAAAAAGTTACAATTTAGTTTATACAGTAATTTGTTTGGTCGCATAATGGACATCGTCAGCACTGACATTCAACAGCAACCTGGGCTCTGACGGTTTCGGCTCCATTAACAACAACCTTAGGGAGGCGAGTCTTGCGCATATCGCCTGCGCCTGTGAAGATGTGGGTGCACGGATGTTAGGCGCTGATTTGTATGGACGACCGTCCAGGGCAATGATGGCAGCCGCCGTGGCTAACGCACGTGATAAAGTCGTTTCATCTGTCCCTGTGCGCTCCACCTGTAAAATTGAATGGATTGAACACCTATTCAAAATTGTATATACTCTTTAAGGAACAGTATGTATTACGGGATATTTTATATCTAGATTAGATATCCTACCAGAAATTCTCGCGTTTCGCGCTTAGTAACATGTTTAGTCAGACCTTTTTTTACATATATGTTACTGCCTTGGTTTTTCTATTTTCCTTACCTCGATCTATATTCTTCCTTTCTACCGTCGGAAAACGATTCAATTCCTAATGAGGCAAGGAAGGCAGGCAACAGGGCAGTTTACAATTTAATTACGCAATCTAAATCGTGAAGTATACAAAACAATACAGTGGTGCTAATTCTGTTGTTCGAAAACTCTCTAAACTAAACTAATCACTAAAAATAATTTAGTCCTGTCAAACAACGTTTCGTATTCTGAAATCGTAGTACTTGACAGGACTAAACTATTTTTTAGTGATTTTTAGTTTAGTTTAGAGTTTTTGAACAACAGAATCATCACCAGTGACTTCCTTAGTCATCAAGGATGAGTTAATAGAGCAGTACAAAACTATTTTTACACTAATGTTTCATAGAGGTCGTTTTACACGGAGACTAGTTTGTTACATTTCTACTAGTCCTTAATTTATAGTTAGGATCATTTGATGAATAATATGTCAGTTAGTTACACTGACCTCAGCAGCAACAGCTCTCAACATAAGTCTTTCAGCAGGTGAACAATGTTTGATTGCACGGACTGCAGCACTAGACGCCGCTTCCCCTAACGCCTGTTGAACTTCCTTCAGTCCAGCGCCCTCCGGCCCGGCCAGCTCCAAAGCGCGGGTACACAATGCTAATGCACGCCGAGCGTCTCCTGATACGGCTGCTACTTTCCTAAAATACGTCAAGTTTCTTATTGGCAGTACTGTAAATTATTATTATGATTTTTTTTTATGTATGTATATTCTGAATACGTATGGAATTTAATCCATGTGATCAAGTGTTCGATGTGGTCAGAAACTACTCAAAATGTACGTACATTTTCCACATGAAGTATTTTATTTTATTTATACATATACAAACTGCCAGGCGCTTGTAGTGACCTATTCTATTGCACAAAAAATCATAATTAAAGGTCAAGTATATAATAAAAATATTACAAACCTCGCAATAAGTTGTACAGCATCAGCTGTAACATTGGCTCCAGCCAGTCTCATAGCCACTATCTTTTGAAGTTGTGTGTGCGTATATGGTGGGAATGTAAGGCGTGTCAGGCCTAATCTGGAAGCCACGCGGGCAGCTAGTGCTCTCTCAGGCAGGTCCATTGTGTTGGCCACAGCTAGAACTGTCAGCAGGGCCGTGTTGTGCGCCGCCCATTCCATGATGCTATACAGTACGTCTTGTCGACGGGTGCAAAGTGCATCAAGCTGGAGAAGAGTAAATTTATTTATTTTAACGTTATGCACAAATACGAGTACATACATCAGCGAATTTATTTATTGAAGCTCGGTTGACAACAATCACCACACAACTCGAAGTTGTTAGGTGGCGGCAACCGCGCTAACAACCCGCCGTTGGCTTTTTATTTCAACAACAATTTAGGAAATGTCAGCATCTTTCTTATCAAAAAGAAAATTTAGCCCTGGATTTGCAGTGACTTCGTGATGGTAATGGAGTTCTTGGACTGGTGTTGGGTATCTATAGAAATAAATAAAATTAGAGTGTCTGTTTGTAATATTAAAATGACCGCTTTTTACTAAATGCATATGTATGTTTACACGGTACATATGCCAAAATAATATTTTTTTCAATTTTTGTCTGTCTGTCTGTTTGTTCCGGGTAATCTCTGGAACGGCTGGACCGATTTTGACGGGACTTTCACTGGCAGATAGCTGATGACATAAGGAGTAACTTAGGCTACTTTTTTAGACTAGCTTCGCCCCGCGGCGTTGCCCGCGGTTATAACAACAGACGCGGGTAACACCGCGGGTCTCAGCTAGTAATAGATTAAATATAAAGAAATGGTATAAAGTGTACCTCATCCACAAGTAATACAGTTGGTGTTCTCCGTGGTCCTGGATTTGTGAACCTCTTCTCCAACAGGGAACATGCTTGCTCCCATACCACTGACTTGCCTAAATGACAAAAATAGGTTATTTAGTTAGTAAAGACCTATTTGTACTAAACAGAAGAGTTGAATGGAAGGTCTACTTTGACTTGAGTTCAAGTTCAAGATATTAAAGAATTACGACCCTGACATAGTTTACCCTAAAGAGTACAGCATGCAACTCTTTAAAAAGTATAACATATAAAAATGTTTCGACGGGATTGACAACATCTTAGCAAAACTACTGGTGAAGAAAACCATAGACTATGATAACATTCTGACCATGAAAGCCATATACTTGTTTTACACCTTAGTAGGATAAACAATACGAGCAGGTACTTGTGGTGTATTTTTAATCAAATGTCAGATTAGATGGCTATTAAATATTGGATTATGAAAAATAAAAAAAAAACGCAGTTAATTCTAGAAAACGTATCTAGTAATAATTATTGTATTTTGTATGTGGATAGCTTGTTTTATCAATTTAAGTGTTACTCAGCTTTCCCAAAAATAAATAACTTAGTGATGTGCCAGATTGTTAGATGAACAGCTGAGTAACACTTAAATTGATAAAAAAATGAAAAATGAAGAATAAATATATAGACGTTTCGACTTGTATAGAACTTGTTTTCAAAGATATGCATTTTATAGAGATATTTATTTATTTACAAAAGGTACAGTTAGATCAGGTAGTGCTTAAACTTACTTAATATTCATAATATTTTTTAATCTGCACTCCAATTACTATCGTACACAGCTTTCGGGATTTATACAGCTTCAGAGTAAGTGGAGGTTACAAAAATAAACAAGCATACTACAAAAAAAAATAAGAAACAAAAAAAAAAATGACAAAAATAATCTAAGCGTGCAGTCAATACACGCACATGTCAAGGTGCATCCAATTTCCGCAAAGATTCCATAAATCTGCCGTGACTACCTATTTTGAGACATATTATTGTTGCATGTTGGTATACAAAATAGTTGCTGAGTACGCACAGATCGAGTAGGTACCTTGAAGTGTAGCTGACTTAAGAGAGTACTATTAAATGAGCCATTCAATATTTTGTACAAAGTGGACATGTCGCTCATCCATCTCCTCCTATCCAATCCGACCATGTTAAAGTAACGAAGTCGTGCCTCGTATTCAGGTATTTTACGTCTTAAGCCGCATTTCATGCATAAAGCTCATATTGTAATACAGTAGCTTCTTAGTTTAATTTTATTGAAATAAGTAAAGAATTACATTAACACAAAAAAATGTTATAATATAAAAGATCTGTTTCCATCAAAGTATAACAGATACGGTCAGAGGATAGACAGTAATTCAATGACGTCGAATGGTTAGTAACAGTGTTAGTTGAAGTATGATAAAGAATAAATTATATTTAAAAAACTAGAAAACACGCTTTTGTAACTAGCCGAAAACGGTAGAAAATAATTTTCTATAAGTTCAAAAAGAAAAAAAAAATTGTGAAAATGCGTGGGGTGCTCGATCACAATTTTTGTAAAAATATTTAATTGACAGATATTGGTAAAAGTATAGTTATTATATTATAAAATATGTTGATGGCACCTTTAAGCAAGTTTCTTACGATTTATTGATTTTTCTTTTAGAACTATAGAAAATTTTACTTTTTAGTTCAGCTAGTTCCAAAAGGGTGTTTTTAGTTTTTTAAACTATAATTTATTTTTGCTTTTCTAGTCATTAATGATGATTATTTTTTCATTAAGACTAAAAAAGTAACAAGTAGTAAGTCACATATGCTTCAGCGCACACTTCTTGGTACGTAGCAAAAGCCGTTAATTCTGAAGATCAGAATAATCGTCATAATTTATCAAACTATTGTATTTGTAATTCGACGTTTTGAAGTGGGTCAAAATCACGTTCGAAGATTCCGTTACATACATAACAATAAACGCGTGTTAAAAAGAAGAAATGGTTTAAATAGCACATAGGCAACTTGTTATTCAGGAAAAAAGGAATGACAAAGTCAACATTACGAGAGCGACGTCATGGACAAAAGATGATAAAAAATAAAATAAACTAAAGATTTACCAGTTAGCTGTTTATAAATCTGCACATATGCCTGGCGCGGCTCAGCAATTCTCATTCCATTGACTTCAACCAGTTGGAAGTCTGGCAGATCCATTTCTTCCTTTAAGTACTTAAGAGCAGAACATACTGTTGCCGTTTTGCCTGTGCCTGGCACACCTGATATATACATGCAACTGCAAGAATAGTAGAACATTTGAATATGAGTTTTACAAAACTTAGTAGTGAAATTTCAGGTTGAAATAAAATTTGAGATGGTGAAGGTGTGAAGTTCTTGTCAGAAGACACTACTTCTTGACCTATATTTAGGAGGGAATCTAAGAGATATTAGATACTCTAGCTGTATCTAATATCTAACTTTGTTATGCTTCAACCTCTGACAATTTATCAACATTTAAGATGAAAACATTATTTGTACAAATAATTCAGAAATATATTACCATTTACTCACCCACTAATCCTATCTAAGAGTTTGGTTCTGACAAATGATAATATTTCATCCATTTGAGACTCCCTCCCGGGCAGTGATTTGTTTTCTTGGAGAAAATCTGAAGAATTATAAAAAGGAAAACTTGAAAAAAAAAAACAAAATTTTATGAGAAAATCACAGTGGAATAAGGTAATAAGCCTTTTAAGTATGTGGGCTATTATGACATTCAGTTATCACATTCAGTTTTGTTTATAATCCAACCCTTACCATCAATATTATCAATAGAGTGTGCCCTATTATGTAAGCTTGGAGTCAATTGGCTTGTTAATATCCTCTTAGTTACACTACGCTTGGGTGTTTGCGCAGGAGTCCTATTTCTAGGCGTTCTCGGTGTCTTAGGAGTTTGTGGAGATGGCTTAAAATCATCATCACTTTCATTCATTTTACGTACAGATTTCCTGGGAGTTCTTTTCACAGGTGAGACATCTTCTTCCATATAGCTGATAGGGGCCTTCTTTCGCAAAGAACTAGGGGTAGGTGGAGCCATTTCATCATCTTCAAAAACTAAAACTTTTTTTGGAGTTTCTTCACTTGTTTTTGATATTGACTGCTTTCTCTTTGGTGTTGATGGGACATGCTGTCTAATGACCAATGTTGGAAGTTCTTCATCTGAGTTTTCTTTTAATTCCATAGATAAAACTTCTTCTATATTATTTCTATTCAGTGCCCTTGAGCTCTTTGGTGTTTCTGGCACTTTTTTCTGTGCTGATTTAGGAATTGCTTTTTTAGGAGAATCTTTTTCAGTTTTATCAGCTAAAATTGCTCTTTTGAGGAGTAGTTTTGTACCATCATTTTTGCTAACACTCCAGTTTTTCTCTGTGATTGATACTCTACTCAATCGTAAAACTAAGGTTGGAGTAGCAGGTGTTACTTTAGATGGAGTTTTGCTAGGTGTCTTTAGTAACGCTAAGGCTTTTCGTTCATCATCAAGTACAGGTTCTATATTTACTTTACGTTTACTCAAAGCCATGACACGGTATCTACAAAGATAATGGTATGGCGCTCTGATGTCTGTGTCTATGTCCCTTGTAAATGTAAAAGTAATAGAGCATTTTTTGAAGAAAGTTTCAATTGATACATCACTATTGAAAGGGCGATGGTCTTCAATGACCTGTTGAAAAGATACATAACACTTTCACATAAAACTAATGTATAAAAATTCAATACTGATAAATTTTGTCAAGTGAATAACTTGTTTGAAGTTTTGGAGAATATTTAACAACAGAAATATGTTATAATAGTAGCTGGTAATCCTATGTTAATAGGACTTATGTGGTGTGATAAACATATTTTTCAGATAAATTCTAGCAGTTGAATTAAAGTTATAGTCAAATAGTGAATTACCTCTTTTTCTAAAAAGCTAATAGTGTCTATATTGTTAAAACACCAGTTTGGTAGATCATTGGGCCATGAGTACCATTGGACCTTGGCTCTGAACGGATCATTGGAATTGGTGCGATCTTCATACAGAGATAAAATTCGAGCTGCATCACAGCCCGCTTCCGTATCCGGTTCAGCTGCATCAGCGTTCGAGACAAGCACATAATCTCCAATACTCGCTGTGATATTTCCAAATTGGAACTTTCTGATAAATAGAAAAAGGTATGAAAATTTCAGATTAGAAAAATGATAATGCGAGCGTTCCAGACGTACTTACTCATAAAAGTGAAATGAAGTAGTTAAACTTTGCGGCTCGTGTATTTCTTCGCTCAACCAAGTCACCGTTTTCGGCATAATACGTCTCCTAGGCATTTTGTGATTCAGATAATTTTTTGTTTACTTTATTTACAAACTTACAGAATTTTTACACACAGCTCAACACAAAACAAACAGCTGTCTATTCTGCAAATGTCAATTTTTCGCGCCACTATAATCTATGTTTACGGAATGAAATTGTTTCAAACAGAAATTTAAAAAAAAAATTGTGTCCTTGGCGATTAAGATACTTTTACATGTTAAAATTGTATTTTAAAAATTATAACATTTGAAGATCTGGAACTTTTAATGGGCTCTTCATTGTGTTTTTGCTTGAATTCATCGAATTTGTTACGGAGTGGAGAGTGCGGTAGAATAGAATGTAAATAGCACTAGCTATTATATTATATTTTTTTGAAAACTAATAAATTATAGTTCTTTGTATAGATATGAATATAATTACCCCTAAATCATTTGTATACATAATGTAAATCAAAATAGGCTTAAGATCAGTTTTTGTTGATAAATATTGAGGAGTTGCGACGGACATAACATGTCATATAGCGCGGCGACGTATGCCATGGTGACGCATCACCGCGTTAACAACTGATCTGACTGATTTTAGATGTTTCACATCAAAAATCCGGCCCTTAGACCATGAATAAGTCGTTTGTTAATATGTCAATTTGTAGAACAACTTTTAAACTACATCATTGTGACACTGTCTGATGACTAAGAAATTGAATACTATACCAAATTTTCTTTTTGATATTATTAGTATTATAAAAAATAATAATTGAAGCGGTCTTAGCTAGTGACTCTTTAAAGCAAGTTTTGAAATCCTACTTTTAATGACACCGATTTATAAGAGTTGGCAACACTGAAATCCGTGTCAAACTTTTGATTATGTCATTATGATTAACGTAAATATGTCATAGAATACCGCGTGCGCGTGCAAGTAAATTATTAAAAACTCTTGAATGAAGCATTTGAAATTTGCAGTATTTTTGCGTTTATCCTCCAGCGAAATAGATTTTATAAACAACTATAATAGGAAACAGACATTAAAATGAAGTTAAAGCAGAAGAAATCTTCAAATAAATTACTATCGGAGAAAATAGCGGATGCGCTTACAGTAAAACCACGCGCAGATATAGAAGATGACCAGGTTTTTAACACGAAACCCAAGATAGTTTCACGTGAAGAGTTAGAGTCATCCGATATAGAAATTGATGTAGCTATCAGTGATTTTCGCAAACGAAACGTTACTTTATTAAGCGAAGTTAGTGAAAAATATAAAGGTAAAGTGGTTTCTCAAAAAGACTTAAGAGAAACAGATGATGGGAGTGAAGACACTGAGTCTGAAATTGAATTACCAGTATCACAAACTGACGCCAAAAATTCCAACGATTCTGATGATTCCGACGCTGAAAATGAAGATTATAGCATCACTCAATTCAAGAAACAATTGAATAATAAAACTGAAGTACAAGAACAAACAGACGATGAAAATTCAAACGATTCTGATGATTCCGATGCTGAAAGTGAAGATTATAGCATCACTCAATTCAAGAAACAATTGAATAATGATTCAGAGGACAACGAAGAGAATTCTAGTGATGGTGATGAGGAAGGTGAAGACGATGGTGATGAAGATGAGGGGTATGACATCAGTCAGATGGATGAGCCACTCAAAGAGAACTTTGAACATGTGAAAAAGCAGAATGTTTCCGAAGAAGCAAAGAAAGGTAATGCTGTAAGAAATCAGCTTTTGATATGGGAAGGGCTGTTGGAAATGCGAATACATCTTCAAAGATGTGTCAACACTGCAAATCAGATGCCTTTGCCAGACACTTATCAAGAATTAAAGGAAAACAATGAATTTTTTGAAGAAACAAATATTTGTAAAAATAATATTGCTACAGTTTTGGATAAGTAAGTAGTGTTGTTTTTTCTTTCAAACATACTTTACCATTGTGGATTAAATCAGAACTGTTTATAAACCTGTTAACTTGTAATTAAAATTAAGTCCCTTTACATATGTAAAACATTTTATAGGTGTGACAAACTTTAGTAGAGCAATCCATTTATGAAAGTTTGGTGCCCGTGATTGGTAGGAGACCTGCATCACGGGTTGCCAGGCTCCACATACTACATGATAAAGTTATAGTTAACCTTATGTAACATGTGACTAGTTTAGAAAATCAGAAAATGGATATATGTACATATATGTGATGTATATGCATGGGAGCTCCATTTGAGTCTGCTCAGTGCTCAAAAAGCAAGTTAAGCCATTGGTTATGGTTGCCATATGGACATCTGTGTAACGGATAGTAACGGATAGTTGGGATCCTAAAAATAGTCGGAACTTCTATATCACCTAGTACTTGGGTTATGGATGTCTGATAGCAGTTGCTCCATGTAAAAAAAAACGTAGTTCAGCCACGTTGCAGTATACTAAAAACTGACCCCAACCTAGTTTGCAAAAAAGCTCAGAGGATGATGCATGTGAGCAGATTGTTATGGTATCATATGTATGTTTATGTGGTAGTTGTTGTTAAAGTTATTTAGATAGCTTAGTTTACGCTGTATTTTGTGCAGTGGGCATATCACCAAGACAATGATCAAATAACATTGTGTTTCCTATGTTTATCCTTGTTGAAATATTTTGGGACTTAGTATGTTTTTAATGAGTATATAACTGAAGTGAGAATAGAGTGAATAAATGTCTATCTGATTGTAAGTACTCTGAATTGTTTATAAATCTCAGTGACCAAAAAGTAGTACAGTACTACCTTAAGTACAGCTCTCTGCACTTTCTCAACCTGAACAATAATGTTAAGAGATGTTGAAGAAATAATAATATTCTTTGTAACACAAGAAATACATTTGGTTTAACTTATATTCAGTGTGCAAGCCCCCTTGATTATTACTTTTTGTAATTACACAATAATCGTTTACTGTTGAACTTGTAAATCTACAATATTTACTCTTATTTTCTTACAGATTGCTGTCTCTACAAAATTTGCTGTTAAATAATTACTCAGAAACTAAAACTTTCTGCAGTAAAAAACATATTAAAGACGCTAAAGAAAATGAAAAGAAACAAGGAGATAGTGATGAAGAAATTCCAAGTGATACAGATAATGAAGAAATACCATCAGACACCGAAGCAGAAGATGAGACACCAAAAGCGATTCAAACATCCAAAACTAGCAGCAATAAAAGTGGACCAAACAGGAAACGCAAACTAGAAGAATATGAAAGTGATATATCAAACACACACAAAGTTTTTAAAACATTCAGAGATAATTCAATACAGAAATGGAATGACAAAACACGCCTAGCAACAGCCACCAACATCAAAAATGTACCTACTAATACAGTTCTTCAACAAATCTCTTACATATTGTCTGATAGAGAAAAGTTAGTAAGACGCACACAGCTCAAGCGGTCTGAATATGATATTATAGGTTATCAAAAAAATGTATCAGGTGAAAATAATAATGAGAATGGAACAGGAGAGAACCCTGCTTCAACACATCGCAAAGATAATGATGAATACATATCAGAAATATTTGATGATAGTGATTTCTATCATCAATTGTTAAGAGAATTGATTGAATGTAAGTCTGCAGATATATCAGATCCAGTACAACTAAGTCGTCAGTGGATAGCATTGCAGCAAATGAGAAGTAAAATGAAGCGGAAAGTAGATACAAAGGCTTCTAAGGGTAGAAAAATTAGATATGTAGTTCACAATAAGCTTGTTAATTTTATGGCTCAGGAGAAGAATATGTCTTGGACAGATGAAAGTAAAAATGAATTGTATAGTTCTCTATTTGGAAAATTGTTTGAACAAAATAATGTAGGTTTAAATGCTAATGTATTTAAATTAAAGGACTAAACAACTAGGACTACAATGTTTTATTTGATAAACCAGTATAACTAGAACTGTCATTGTATAGACCATAGAATGATATAATAATACCATAAAAAAAATTGATGTTTCTAATTGTAATGTCAAAATAAAAGTTTTTTATGCTTGTTAGTGTAATAATGTTAAGATAATCTTCTGTGTACCAAGAATTCTTAGAATTTTCCTTGCCCCGCGCTTGTTTTACTGTGTGAAACATTTTCAATTTTATTGGATTTGTATCCTCAAAGACAATAGGCATTATTACTTTTTTCGACGCATGCTGTCAGTTGATGAAATACCTACTTCATAATTACAGAAAGGAATCATCTATAATAATATCGAGTTGTAGATTCAACAATATGAATGCATTATGTATGTAGTGTATGAGAACCAAAATTAGAAATGCTTAATCAGTCAGAGGATACGGGGATTGCGAGGAATAGCTGCTGATGAATCGTTTGAATACATTTTTGATAATGTGGTACAATCAACTTTCCCGAATGTAATGATAGCATTGCAAATACATACAGAATTCTGACGATATCAAATGCAACGGGTAAACTAACATTTCAAAATTAAATCTAATAGAAAAAACTGTAGGTATTCGTTCGTCAATGTCTCAGTACTTTTTAAATTCATTGTCGATAGTGGTGGTTCAAAGTAATCCATAAGATAAGGTCAACTTTCAAAATGTTATGAACGATTTTGTAACCAAAAAGTTAGTTCTTTTTTAAACTTTATGTACTTGACATAACTATTTCCTTGCGTTTATTGTATAAAGTTTAAAAGTTTAAAGTTAAAATACTCGTGTCACGGTCTCATCTCATATAATACACCTAGTGACACCTGGATCATCACTTATCTAAAACTTATTCATTAATACCTGAAGAAAAAGTGGGCACACATAAAACTTGCTGAAAGTTTAAAGAATTAAGCATCAGTTAGGTTGTTGCTATGTTCGGGCGGGGCGTTCGACAGTCGACGCTATTTTGCGCCTGAGGGCCGTGACCGAAGAGGCTGTGAGCTGTGGCGGCGTGCTGTTGGCGGTGTCATTGGACATCGCCAACGCATTCAATAGTCTGCCATTCAGCTGCATCAGGGAAGCACTCCACTATCATGGGGTGCCAAAGTATCTGAGGCGGCTAGTGGCAGAATATTTAGAGGAGCGTACCGTCGTGTACGAGGACCGAGATGGTAATTTGAGGTGTCGGCCCATGTCATGCGGTGTTCCACAGGGGTCTGTTCTTGGACCCCTCTTGTGGAACTTAGGGTACGACTGGGCCCTTCGCGCCGATTTCCCCCCCGGGCTGGGTGTAATCTGTTACGCAGACGATACCCTGGTGACAGCCCGGGGGGCAAACTTCCAAGAGGCGACGCGCCTGGCCACAAGGGGAGTCTCCCTGGTCTTACGGGTGGCCCTAGATAAGACGGAGGCCCTGTTATTTCATGGGCCCCGTCGTGGTCCACCCCCTGGCGCCTCAATCGTGGTCAACTCGGTCCTCGTACCGGTTCGGGCCCAGATGAAATATCTGGGCCTGATCCTCGACGGGAGGTGGCTCTTCGACGAGCACTTCCGACAGCTTGCTCCAAAGCTGGTTGGCGCTGCGTCTGCCCTAGGGCGACTTTTGCCCAATTTGGGTGGACCCAGCGTCGCGACAAGACGGCTGTACACGGGGGTTGTCCGGTCAATGGCACTATACGGTGCACCGGTGTGGGCGGCGGCTCTGACCGCCCAGAATAGGGCACGCCTCTGGCGCCCTCAGAGGGTAATGACGGTCAGAGCCATACGCGGTTACCGCACCGTGTCGACGGAGGTGGCGTGCGCGTTGGCCGGAACTCCCCCGTTTGATTTGGAGGCGGAAGTGCTCGCCGAAGTTTATCGGGGAGTGGCTGACTCCCGGGCGGAGAGCGGATTTCGCCCTCCGCCCGAAGACGTGCGCGAGTGGCGCGAAGCCGCTCGCCGAGCCACGATGGCTCGTTGGTCGTTCCGGCTGGAGACTCCACGCGCTGGCTTCGCCGCCGTGGAGGCTCTCCAGCCGGTCATCGCCGAGTGGGCAGGGCGGCAGCACGGGACCCTTTCCTTCCGGCTGACGCAGGTGCTTTCCGGGCACGGTTGCTTTGGAAAGTACCTGCACTCGGTCGCTAGGAGGGAACTGAGTCCCGCCTGCCACCACTGCGACTGCAGTGAGGACTCGGCCCAGCACACGCTGGCGGTCTGCCCCGCATGGGCGGCGCAGCGCCGGGCCCTCACTGCAGTCATCGGAGTGGATCTCTCGCTACCGGCCGTAGTACGCTCCATGGCCGGTAGCGACAGTTGTTTTACCGCGGTCGCAACCTTCTGCGAGGAAGTAATCTCGCAGAAGGAGGCGGCGGAGAAGGCCCGGGAGGACGACCTCCACTCGGACCCGATCCGCCGCCGGCGTACCGGGCGGCGGAGGCGCGCCTATCACCGCCTCATGCCGCCCTGAGTGTGGCCGCGGGTGGACGGGGTGGGTTTCCCCTCCACCCGCATTAGTTTGGCCAGCCGCGAGGGGGCGGCGTCCGCGTGTGCCGGACGTCGCCTAAAGAGAGGAAAATTTTGAGACGGAGCCCGCACTAGGAGCGGGCTGGCGCTAGGAGGGGTCCGGATGTCTTAATAACAGCTGTTCCCGGATCCCTCCTGTTACAGGCGCAGAGTGGCACACCGTGTGGTTTTAGTCGGTCCGAGTCCGACACACCACCCCGCCGCAAACCCCGGTGGGGTGACGGTCCGAGGGGATTTCCACACGTTAAAAAAAAAAAAGAAAAAAAAAGGTTGTTGCTATGTTGTTGCTAATGCTATTACTAACAACCCTTCATCGAGTCACAGAGCTGATAATCTGAGTGAAAAGGGGCCCCGAAAAGCTGTAGGCCTACAGCTTTAAAAATGTTTTCTGCGCAATGGGAGTCTTTTGATTACCCCATAAAAAGGATGGTAGAAGCTTCTAATTCTTATCTCAACCTAGGAAGGAGTGTAAAACGAATGGAAAATTCTTCAATTGAAAATAATTCAAAATTATCTCGATAGGTCACAAACATATTAAAATTTACCTACTTTTCGACTTACAGATATTGGCTACGCAATTTATCAAAAGTTTATCACCTACTTAATAACACTGCTATTTCTTTTGTTATAGTAGTAATAATATAAAGTTATTATCAAAATATTTTGTTGGAGATCTGAACTGTTGAACTATATTGATAACCTTGAACCATGTTGGAACTAGGGCATAAGTAGTAAATTAGCGATGCCTGGAGAAATTTAGTAATGCCAGGACAGACAAGCAGTACATTCAACTGTCTGTAGTTGAGTCAGACTGTGCGTAGGCGCGTCTACGTGTTCCGTTTAAAAAGGTATGTTATAGTTATGTATGTTAATATGACTCAGATTGATATTATTTCAATGATTTCGACTTCAAGTTAGTGATTAAAATCATGTGTCGTGTTAATCAATGAAATCACTATGAAGTTTCAAAAATCTGTGAAAATGACGAATTCTATTGAATTATGAATTCTATCGTTTTTTTTTAATTTAGTTTGCACTAATCCCGTGCGTGTCGTAAGAGTCGACTAAGGAAGCAAACTACGCAAGACAACCGCACCGCAAAGATAAGGGAAACTTGAAACAAATGCTTTTTTTTACGTTTGGAAACTCCCCCGGGTTTGCGGGGCGGGGTGGTCTGTCGGAATCAGACCGACTAAAACCACACGGTGTGCCACTCTGCGCCTATAATAGGAGGGATCCGGGAACTGATGTTATTAAGACATCCAGACCCCTTCCCTTGAGATTTGCTTGATAACAGTCAAATTATTAACCCGGTTTCTTCGATACAGCGCGTGTGAGGCGGGCAAATTCACGCATTCCGCGAAACTCGCGCGCATGCCGCGGTCGTGTAAACATACTGCGCCGGTGCGGTGATATGAACATTATCAAAGCATAGACTCTGAACTGTAACAATGATAAATGTTTTATTAGCGATTTTATAGTAACATTTACATAAACATTTAATCGACTTAAACAACGAAATTATAATAGTAGAACTAATGATTCCATAGAACGAAATTATTACAAAGCCAGTCCATAGGCTCATATAAGACGACATTGTATATTGACCCGGGCCATGACTCGGATTTATTATGTACCTACACAAGTATCTATAAATTTCAGTTTCCTCTCTTTGGGGGCTGTCGTTAAGTTTCGTGCCCAGATTGACACAGACTAACACAGCAAGTTAAATAGGTTGTAGAAGATAGAAGCTTGATAGTATAATTAGAGACATAACCGGCTTTTTTGTGATACTTTTTGCCATTACTATAGCAAAAAGTGATAGATCTTCGAAACTAAGCAATGAATTTCAATGCGATTTTCATCAATAGAGAGAGTGATTTAAGAGGAAGGTTTAAATGCATAATACATGCATATCATAGTAGAGGGAATCTGAGAATTTCGAAGATTTGTGATAAAAAATACGTTTTTAGTTCAAAAACACATTGCAAACGCTGGCTTGTATATCTTTAGATTTGTATATCTTAATAATATCTAAAAAAGTTCGCGATAGTATATGTCCATCTCCTAAGGATAAACCACAGTAACCATTTTTATTTATCTTACCATTTATCTTTTAAATTTTATGAAAAAAAAATGGCTGATTTACGAATCTATTTTAAAGAATACATACATTTTTTTTCCTTATCCCATAAATACGTTAGATACGTTGTGGATTTAATGTATATTAAATTTGTTCTTGACAGCATATCATTAAAATGAATATTTTAGAAGATATTAGAGGTTTAAAATGCGGGGGCAAAGTGGCCGTCGCTGCGTTCGCAGTCGCTCGGGCCCTACGTCGGTCCCGGAAGGCAACGGCCGTCAGGAAGGCAGTGGTATAATTACTCGCGATCCGCCCCGGCTTCCCATGGGTGCAATGTAGATGCTACTAATATTACTAGTGTGGTGTCAGTGTAGAGGA